GTACCCTGGAAGGTCCGTCTTGTTCCACAACCTATCGATTTCACCTTGAGGCACCGATGGATGATTTACCATTCGGTTTTGTATTGGGTCAATGATTTATTGAGTGGATTTATCGATTTATTGAGTTATAAAGTATCATAAAGTATCATAAAGTGGATAAAAAATGGGTGCATCATAAAGTCTATGTGGAGATTCCTAACGATGATAGTGATGAAAAAAATTGGGATATTTCTTAGTTCGATTGGGAGGGTTCCAAACAGGTGATTTCATCCTACCCGGCCTGGTTATGACTAACAGTTTGCCATAGAAAATAGATGGCCCTAATCGAAATAGATGGTTTACCGAACTTAAAAATGGGTGGATCTTTCCATGGCAAACTGTTAAATAACCAGAGGGTACTTTTACCATGGTTTCTTTTTTGGGGATGTTAGATATATATCAGGGGGAACTGACCAGCTACCTGGTGACCATTGACATCCATTGACACCAAGAGGATTTGTGGCGCAACTCGACCGGATCGAAATTTTGATGTCAATTTAGCCTCTGGTTATTTAACGTAGCTATGGGAAAACACCATTTTTTATAGGAAAATCTTCTATAAATCATCTATAAATCATCTATAAATGGGCCAGTTTCCATAGCTACGTCAAATAACCAAAGGTTAACCATCAAAAATAACACCTCTGGTTATTTGTTGCATAGCCATGGTATAGATGGCCCATAGAAATAGATTATTTCCCCAGCGAACTAAACCTCCATTTATTTTGGTGATTTTCCATGGCTATGTTAAATAACCAGATGGTAACAAATACTGTAGATCCAAGCAGAAAAATGGTGTAAGTGGATTTATTGTAGAAGGGAGAGAAAACGAACTGTTGAGTGAGGGGATATAAGGGTGATATAGCCTACAACATGATTTGCGTCTGTCCAAAAATAATAATGAACCCAAAACTAGCAATTGAATAGGTAAAGGCTGCAATGTCAAGAAGATTCATAAACTTCCGGTTTGGGGGCAACCATGTAAAACTATGTAGAACTGAAATTGTTTACTACTATTTTGGGGATATCCTAATTCATAAACACGGGGGAAGGTGGTACCTCTGGGTTGAGATCGTTTTTTTTAGATGGGTCAAACTGATCAAGCCCGAGATTGTATGGTTTTAAGATGGTTTTAATGCAACACATTGATGCCCCAATTATTCATCCCAATTATTTAGATCTAAAGTGGACACGTAAAATCACAACTCGCCCGTGTTGTGCGGGTATGTTATTTGATCGGAAATTCAGGATCAATGGAGCTAGGTTAGCACCATACAAAGCCATAGAAAATGGGTGTATATCCCCTGAAAATTCGCCCTAAAAAATGTGCCAAAGATATATCTGGGTAATTTATTACTTACCTCACTGTTCTCCCTCACTGGAATCATGGGTAATAAAGGAAATCATCCTAATATGGCCTTAATTAGTCTTAATTCAGGTTAGTGAATTATTATAATTGTTCCAGAGTAATCTATAAATGATGGTTGATTGATAGTTGACAAATGATAGTTGAAATATTTTTTACCCAGAATCATTATCAATGCACTAATTGGGATAAATAATATCCCCATGATGTTTCAGGATGGTGCCCCCCAGTTATAAGTTGGTTTAAAAACCCCATTAACTATAGTTATATCTACCATAAACCATAGTTATGGGAGTTATAAACCAACTTAGCTAACTATGGGGCACCACCTTGTATGGTAGATACCTCGGTAGCTGTTGGCCAAAGATTTGACCAGATGATCCCCAATGGACCGCCGGGAGATCTTGGAGCCGGTTGGATGATACCGCCAATCCTGTCTCTCTTTTTAGGGTGTAAGTATATATGGATATATATATATATTATATATATATATGTATATATATATAAATACATATATATATATACATATATGGAGGTTTCCTGAATTTAAGCCCTAAATCATCCATTTAGAAAGATGGGATTTTCCACGAAATAAACCATCCAGCTATTGGGGGTATTCCCACTTCTGGAAACCAGATCTTCTGCAGGATGCAGATCGATTTCTGAAGGTGATGAACTTATTTTACCAGTGCCTCGCTGGAGTTGTGTCCCAAAACACAAAGTACTGCTTGCGGTGCATGGGGTGCTCAAAAAGGTCGGAATTTCGAAGTTGGTTTCTACGTAACTCATTTTTTCTGTTGCGTTGACAAGGTAGATATATCATATCCAACTAGTTGTATTGAGGCCTGTGGGGGTGTTGTTTTTAGTTAGGCTAAACAACAAGCATTTCACCACAGGGCAGCACTTTGGAAAAAGTTGGAAGCAACATGTTGGCACAAGGAAATGATTGCATGGTGTCATGGTACATCATGTGTGGACTTGATTGTGCATTTTTGGGAGTCCAAGCTTTATTTTGCAGGCTTCTCTGACGTTACGCGTTCCCAGCAATGTTTGCTTCAAATCGGATGGTCATGGTTGGAAATCACTTGTCACGAACCATGATCCAGCCCCCTGCAAGAAAGTATGTGGTGGTCAAACCAAGTCCATTCCAGTCACTGCGTGGGTCGTCTCCCAAAGTGCCCAAGGGGGTTCAGCGCCATGGCCATGGAATGCATTGAAGACCTTGAAATTGGGCTAATAACTATCACAGACATGAATTCAATCGAACATTGTCGATGGATACAAGATACTGTAGTATAGATCATCATTTAGAGATATATAGAGCTATCCATAGCCATATATATATACATATACATAGTTACTGCTTTTCTCAGATGAATTCTCTCTTCTGTTCACATCGGTATTTTAACTGCGCAGTTCTGCGCCGTTTTACGGCGCCGTTTTCCGAACCGAGGTTCCACAAGTCAGCAGCCGAGAGCCTTGGTCAAGAGACAGGTGGTGTCAACGAAAATCGGGTCGAACATCCCCAAAAAAATGACCATCAACAATTTTACTAAGTCATGGGGTGCCCCTAAATCATCTAAATATACCAGCAATACCATACCATAATATACTCGTTGGTGGTTTGGAACATGGCTGTTTTATATTTTCCCATATATTGGGAATAATAATCCCAACTGACTTTCATATTTTTCAGAGGGGTTGAAACCACCAACCAGATCAACAATTTTATGGTACATATGGGTGTGACTGAAAATGGGAGCCTTGATCTATTTTGATGGGACAGATTATGATAATCCAATAGGGTGGGGAAAGCTCCATATGACCAACAATTTTATGAATAGTAAACCATCCCCAATAAACCAAGCTAAATGGCTAGGTATCAGACATCAACAATTGATAGCTTTTTGCAGTGGGGGTTTACCTTACATTCTCCATCAGTCCATCTACAGCTGGCAGAATTTGATGGCCTTACAGATGAGGTTTCTGACCTTTCAGGAGCTCATGACCTTGATGGTCCTTTTTCGCTTGGTTGGTGGTTTGGAACATGGCTTTTATGACTTTCCATATATTGGGAATGATCATCCCAACTGACTTTCATATTTTTCAGAGGGGTAGGTATACCACCAACCAGTCGCTGGATTGGGTTGCCATGCTTGGGATGTTGTTTTGCTGCGGTTTTTGCTTGGAAAAATAAGCTCTATCCCAGCAAAAATTGAACTTGTCCCCAGAGGGATCAACCACACAGCAAAAATAAGCGTCGAACGTGGTTCCCAAAGTTGGGAATGCTGATCGAAATGACATGGTGCAGTTGAGTTGAGCGTGAAATTTCATCCATGTCTCCCCAGTGATAGTTGGCCATACCCATATTCTCCCCATGCTTTCATGGTTCAGAAGCCCATCTTGCTTGGTTGAAGCGCCACTTTTTTTTTCAACAGGATCAAAGAAAGAATACAAGTAGGGTCCAGGCAAGACGTGTGACGTTTCCAAGAGGTAGAAAGCAAAAAAAAGAAAATGGAGAGCATATAGCAACGCAGCGTGAGCAGCTGCTTCCCAAAGCAGTTGTCTATGTCAACTTTCTTGGCATCTCTTTCTCTTGGCAACTCTTTCTGATGCGACCGCTTTCTCTGGGCACATCTGACATCTGTTTTTGGACCCAGTTTTCCCTTGGCATTTGTCACTGATGACCTCTCTATCTTCGTTTTTGCCAGTTTTCTGATGCCACTGCTTTCTTTCAGTTCCAATCTTCTCTCTGACATATCCTTGTTTCGGCAACTCTTTCGTGCAATTCCTTCCCTTGAGAAAAACTATTTACTGGCTCACAGCATGCAAACAAAGCAGCTCGGTCGGGTACTTCAAAGACAAACCTTGCACGGATACCCTCGCAAAAGACCAGGCAACCACGAACCCAGAAGCACGGATGCCTCATGATTCACGACAGAACTGCAACCTCAAGAGAACAGCTTGCACAGATACCCCAAGAAAACACAAGGAACCACTTCTCTACTCTCTTCATTTCTCTCCTTTCTTCACTCTTCCACTCTTCTCGTTCTTTTCTCTTTTCTACCCTCCTCGCTTATCTTCTCTGCTTTTTCACTTCTCTACCTTCTGCACTCCTTCCTTGCCTTCACTTCTTTGTCCACTGTCTTCACCTTACTCTTCAGACTTCTCCACTCTTTTCACTTCTCTCTTCACTTCTCTACTGTCTTCTTTTCTTTTTTCATGACTACTTCCTAGTTTAAATCTCGAAGTTTCTCTTCTAGACTTAATTTGATCAAGGGACAACCGCCCTGAAACAGCCACGACCAGCTCCATGAGACTACGGCTTTGAAAACGCCTGTGTCCGGAAATGGGGTATACCGTATACCCTATAATTACCACAAAAAAAAGACATGTTGTTTGATACGGAAAATCATGAGAATCCACTGGGATTGAGGCTACCCAACTTTTCAAACAAACCCACTTATGTAAAAAAATCCTCCGGAAATCTTCGATTTTGTACTGGATCTATTCATTTAGCCTTCCCAAAAAAATAGTTCATGCGCCATTTTTACCACTTATTTGGGAATGGTAACCATACCACCTATTTATGGTGATTAGGGGGATGGTTCATGACATTGTTTTAACCACAGTATTTTGAAAATGTCCACAAGCTATACATGTATGTTCATATAGAGATCCATGTCAGGATGATTAAAGTCATCGGATCGTTCATTAAGGGAAAAATGATGACGTCCCTTAAATCCATTGAAAAAGTATGTGAAACAGGGTTGCTCTGACCTATGGATAAATGATAGCTGCAAGGGGGTAAATTGATGTCATTTTACCTCTATATTTTGCCAAATTATCCCCCTTGTAGTTGGGGTGTTGGGAGCCTGTGAAACCACCATTCCTCATGGTTTTTCACCATTTCGGTTTTGAACCGGATCTCCGGGGCGAAAGGTATGGCACTGGGCACTTGGCGAAGCATTTGCGCAGCTTGGCAACTGAGTTTCCAAACTCCGAAAATCACATGGATGATATGGGGGTACCCCCATGACTCTTGGAAACCTCCATGTGGGTCTGTCTGAAAATGGGCTATACCATGGTACACCGGTAATCCCATGAAATGACTATGGTTGCAATAAATTTAGGGATACCGGATACCCATGTCTTTCAGGCAAAGCCACTTGGCGGAAGTTTCAGAGGTGAGTTGTAGCGATGGATGGCAGAGCGAATCCACTGATGGACCGAAAGGTGGTTGTGATTTTTGGAGTGGTTGCAGTGGTCACCGGATGCACACCTGCTGAATGTAGTGTAGTGTAGTTGTAGGTGTAGTGCAGCGCAGTGCAGTGCAGTGTGGTGTAGTGTAGGTGAAGTGTAGTGTAGTTGTAGTTGTAGCTGGAGTGTGGTGTAATTAGTGTAGTGTAATGAGTGTAGCGTGATTAGTGTAATTAGTGTGGTGTAATTAGTGTAGTGTAACAAGTGTAGTGTAGATTAGTGTAGTGTAGCGTAGTTGTAGCTGTAGTTGTAGCTGTAGTTGTAGTCTAGTTGTAACTGTAGTCGTAGTCTAGTTCTAGTTGTTGTGAAAGTGTCTTGTTGCTGTTGTTGTTGTTGTTGCAGATGCAGTTGTAGTGTTAGTGCTGGTCTTAGTGGCAGCGTTAACTTTTTCGACATCTGAACGTCCAAAAGTGGTCCGAGACCGTCAGTTTTTAACACTTTTGACTTGCGAATGTGCTTCGCGCCGCAACGGCGTGCACTTTTTCGACATCTGAACGTCCAAACGTGGTCCGAGACCGCCAGTTTTTAACACAATTGTTTACTTCGAAACGTGCTTCGCACCACAACGGGGTGCAATTGTTCAACATCGCAACTTCCAAAAACGGTTTGAACGTATGATGTGTTAAGCATTTTGACTTCCAAATGTGATTCGCGCCACAGCGGTGTGCACTTTTTGAACATCTCAACTTCCAGGGTGCTCCGAGCATGGTGTGTTTTATGTTTTGCATATTTTGACTTGGAAATGTGCTTCGCGCCACAGTGGCGTGCACCTTTTCCACATCTTAACTTCCAAAAGTGCTCCGAACCTGACGTTCTTTTAACATTCTTACTTGGAAATGTGTTTCACATCTTCGCCCCACAGTGGGCGTGCACTTTTCCCACGTCTCAACTTCCAAAAGTGCTCCGAAAATGGTGTGCTTGCGCGTTCTGACTTCTAAACGTGCTAGCGCCACACCGGCGTGCACTTTTCTATCTCTCATCTCCCCAGATGGCTCCTTACCCGCCGCTTGAGCGAGCCTACTTTTCCACCCTCCGGGGCCACAAAGCATTGGAAAAACATAGCGTTTCCGCTTTGATCTTCTTTTTTCTTCTCTTCTCTGACTCTTCCCACCTCTGCTGCTTCATCTGTCCATCTTGTCGGAAATTTGACTTGTAAACTGCTTCGATAAATAGTCAGTGCCTATGGTTACAAGCCACTTACTAAGTGGGATGATCCTCCAAGTACCCCTGTTGATCATCAAAAATAAAGGCAATGGGTGTAACCTGCATAAACCTTTACAGGTTCTTAAGTTAGCAGCAAACTGTAAAGATAGAAAAACAATTTGATCTTGCAACCATTCAAAACAATTCATTGCATATCAACATGTCTTACAAGTAAATCACTTGAAGTGCTTTGGATTGAGACACCTCAAACAAGGTTATCACAAACGTGTACCCTCCGGTCAACCAACTAACATAGCTAGGGAAAATCACATTGTTCAACGGGTAACTCATCTGGCCGGTTTCCTTGGCAAACTGTTCAATTACCATATGGTAATCCACTCTTGCTGATTGGTGATTGAATGATGATTGAATCCCATCATTTGGATTGGAGTTGCACTCATCAAACAGTATACGGGTTCACGTATATATATATATACATATTTATTTATATTTAGATTTAGATTCAGATGGATAGAGAGAGGGAGAGAGATACCTGATGGTTGTTTGATTACTACCGGGATTATTAACCAATCTGGTTTGATGGGGAGTATGACCTCATTCACAACATAATATGTACACATATGCACTAACCAACCAATATAATGGAATGGTATAAGGGCGTTTTTCATGGTTCAAATCGTTTTTACTGGTGAAGGGTGGTATATTTTGGGGTTTCATCGGGAAAGCTTCGGTGTTTGGCAGTTTTTGCAACATCGGAATCATCAGCAACAATTTGGCGAACTGGGTCGTTTCATGAAACATTCTGCGCATCAAACATGGCACCAGCGTGTCATCACTTCCGTCATTTTGATCGGGTAATTATTGCCATGGAGTCTAGTAAATCCCACAGAAAATCAATGTTACTTTTATGGGGTTTTTCAAATCTTACTAGACTCCCCGTTGGATTTTTTCACAATTTCATGAAGTCTTGTAAATCCCATGTCTTGATGAAGCCTTGTAAGTTTTCATTTCTTGTAATCCCATTTGTTTTCTGTTTGGCTGGTTCCTATATCCAAAATGGATCAACGGGGCAGGGTAGGCCTGGGTACATGACCACAGCTAGTGACTGATCGTGTGCTATGCTATTTGCCGTGGTCAAAAGTTGTTTTGAATCACTGGAAATAGGTATTTCGTGGGGTATTTAATGTGGATAGTTCAGCGTTTTTTTCCCCACATTGACGTGTGGGGTTTTTGTTTTTAGTTCTGTATCCGCTCCTTCCTCCTCCTCCCGCCCCCCTCCTCCCTCACCACATACATCCATACTATCACACATCAAACTCATACATCTCTCCCTCACTCACTCACTCTGACTCGCTCACTCACTCTGACTCGCTCACTCACTCGCTCACTCACTCACTCACTCACTCTCTCTGTCTGCCGGTCACTCACTCACTCACCTCCCTCACTCTGCCGGTGGCTTTTGCGTGGCAGGCGTGGGACAATGTGCACCGCCAAGGGGTCGGATGTACGCCCCGGTGTCCCGCCGGTATCCCTCTGGCGTCCCTTGGTCTCCGCTGCTCTGCCGGTGGCTTTTGCGTCGCAGGTGTGGGACAATGTGCACTGCCAAGGGGTCGGATGTACGCCCCGGTGTCCCGCCGGTGTCCCTCTGGCGTCTCTTGGTCTCCGCCGCTCTGCTGGTGGCTTTTGCGTGGCAGGCGCGGGACTTGGCGCTAGAAAGATAGAAAGATAGAAGGATAGATAGATAGATAGATAGGTAGATAGATAGACAGATAGATAGACAGATAGATAGACAGATAGAAAGATTGATAGATTGATAGATTGATAGATAGATTGATAGATTGATAGATTGATAGATTGATAGATTGGTAGATTGATAGATTGATAGATTGATAGGATTAGATAGGATTAGATAGATAGATAGGATTAGATAGATAGATAGGATTAGATAGATAGATAGGATTAGATAGATAGATAGGATTAGATAGATAGATAGGATTAGATAGATAGATAGATAGGATTAGATAGATAGATAGGATTAGATAGATAGATAGAGGAGGATTAGATAGATAGGATTAGATAGATAGGATTAGATAGATAGGATTAGATAGATAGATAGATAGATAGGTAGATAGATAGATCGATAGATAGATAAGATTAGATTAGATTAGATAAGATTAGATAAGATAGATAAGATTAGATAAGATTAGATAAGATTAGATAAGATTAGATAAGATTAGATTGATTAGATAGATTAGATAGACTAGATAGACTAGATAGACTAGATAGATTAGATAGATTAGATAGATTAGATAGATTAGATAGATTAGATAGATTAGATAGATTAGATAGGTTAGATAGATTAGATAGATTAGATAGATTAGATAGATTAGATAGATTAGATAGATAAGATAGATTAGATAGGTAAGATTAGATAGATTAGATAGATAGATAGATTAGATAGATTAGATAGATAAGATTGATAAGATAGGTAAGATAGATAAGATAGATAAGATAGATAAGATAAATAAGATAGATAGATAGATAGACAGACAGATAGATAAGTAGATAGATAGATAGGTAGATAGATAAGATAGATCGATAGATAGGTAGATAGATAGACAGATAGAATAGATTAGATTAGATTAGATAAGAGTAGAGTAGATTAGATTAGATTAGATTAGTTAGGTAGGTAGATAGATTGACAGACAGACAGACAGACAGACAGGTAGGTAGGTAGGTAGAGAGATGGATCGATTGCTAGATAGATCATTAGTTAGATAACATCCGCAAGTACATCACATATATCTTACACCCGGTACACACATCGTTAACACACGACCAAAGTGACACACCTGTACATGCACATACATACATACATACATACATACATACATACATACATACATACACACAAACTCACCCACCATCACTCCTCCATCACTCTCATACTTCTTCTTCCCTTGTTGCTTTTCTATGCTCAGTCTAAGTCTGGTGAAGTTGTTAACATGTGGGGTTATCCGGTCCTATAATTCTAGTTTTTGGTCGGGTACAATCAAAAGTTGGATTGCATAGCAATATTGTGGGATCATTATCAATCATTATCAATGCACGAATTGGGATAAATAATATCCCCATGATGTTTGGATTCCCAGGAAACGGGATGGATGACTATAAACAATTATACCATGTTTTGACGGTAGCACACATAACGGGGATGTAGAATTTATTTTTGCAGGGTATCTCAGACTGGAAGGGCGCCAAAAGATGCAGGTTGTGCGCACACATCGAAAGTGGCATGAAAACGCCTACAGAGAATCAGCACCAGCACACGTGCTCAACCACTTCACAACAGCTCATGGTAGTGGCACTGTGTTTGCTGCTTCGATGTTTGATTCGTCACCTACACGTCCACTGCAGTGGGCATACGGTGACAACTACTTGCACAGTAGTTTTGCCCACTACTTGGATTTGGGATGGTGCACCAAATTGTCTGCTTTGAGTGAGATCCTTGAATCAAACAGAACAGGAGATGCGTGTTTTGTGATGGCACAGAAGCTTCTCGATTGGTCACTCAACTCAAGCAAGTTTGGGCAATCTATCAACAAATACAATGTGTTAATATAAGATGTTTTTTCTCCCGGCCATGAAACCTGACTCCGGAATGCCGGAACTATCCCAAGCATAGGACTTAGTCATTCATGAAAGTGGGTTGAACCCAGTGTCAGTGACAAGTTGCTGAGCGGGTTGGTCTTCAGCCCTGCAACCCCTCTTTTTCTGCGCCTTTGGCTGAGGTTCATTCTTCGTTCATGCACTGCAGCCGAGCAAAAAAACTGGAGAAGGCATAGCTGGGAAAGTGGACAGTTTGGATATGCCACCCACAATATGAGACGGGTGTGTCTAAAAATGAGGGATGTGCCTTCAATTTATGGCCACTTTTATGTTGGGAAAGTGATGATTAGCCATCGGATTTAGAGGTGTTGCCTAACTTTTCACCTGCATACCCTAGATGAAGGATCAATTCCTCATAGATCCGCGCAAAGGACCCAAGCAAAATGGGTGTGTCTGAAAATAGTGTAGCCCTACACCCAATGGTTTTGCTGATCATTATCCCTATTAAATGGCTATTTCATTGGGAAGATTAACCCAACATTTTCAGACAAACCCAAATGGTATTCTTGTTACACAGCATCCATCACCCAGCCACGAAACCAGCCGATCCCATTTGTTGGACACTGAGCAGGTCACCCCCAAGTCCAGATCAGCTTAAGGCATGTCATGTGTCCCATAAATCCTACTGCTTGGTGGTGACTGGAACATTTAGTATGGGGTAATGATGGTTAATCATGGTTAATAATGGTTAATAATCACTGGTTGGTGGTGACTGGAACATGGTTTTTATGACTTTCCATTAATATTGTGGAGAATCATCCCAACTGACGAGCTCCATCATTTTTCCGACGGGTAGGTTGAAACCACCAACCAGATATGAATTGTAATGGAGGGGGGCCCATTTAGGACAGACCCACTGTAGACCTCAGCTAGAAAAACCTACGTAGTATTCCTAAAATTCTGCATAAAATATGCCTGTAAAATCCCAGGTATCATCCTATTCATATCCTATTCATCATTATAAAATCCCTTCAATATCCTATTCATGTCCCTTTGATATCCCCATATTTTTCAAGGGCGACTCACTCCTAGGTATCATCCTGTTGGAGAAATACATATAATATATAACATCCATTAACATCCTATATCTATAATATATCCTATATATATAAGTGTGTGTATAATATCCTATTTATAGGTTTCATATCCCCAAAAAAAATTCCCCATGTTGTAAATCTCCATCTCCGAATGTTCGGTTCATCACATTCGAAGGTTGGTTCATTCCACTGGTCAGCTGCACCTTGGGCTTCGGCTTCGGATGGCTTTGCGCATTGAGGCCCTGCGCAGTTTCTGGGGATTGCTTGAGTCGATGATGGAGAATTTCCCGGAAATCCACGGTTAAAACTGGGGCATCTATAGCTGGTTGGAGGTAGTGATGGTTAATGATAATTAATGATGGTTAATCATGGTTAATCACTGGTTGGTGGTTTCAAACATGACTGGATTATTTTCCATTTCATCTGCTCGGGATGTCATCCTGCCAACATTGACGAAGTCCATCATTTTTCAAGATGGTAGGTATACCACCGAAACCACCAACCAGCTAGAGATTTTTCGGGTCCTTAAGCAAATCTTGGATATTCCGCTGAGATGTTGTTCGTTTTTTTCATGAGGAGATCAGGATGTTCACTGAAAAAAGGGGAATACAAAACTGAATCGAATGGGAAAAATGAGATAGTGATAGATAGTGGTTGAGTGGTTGATGGTTAATATTAGATGAATATCTCTCTATGAACCCTGCATATTGGAGTCATGCATACTATGGAAGTCTTTTTTGGGGTATTACGGGGATGGTTTCGAAAAAAGGGATGGATAACCACACAAATTGGAGCTATTTCATGGGCTGTTGTTTGAAAAATTCTTGAATATATAGGTATGGTGAGTACCTGAAATTAAGAGGAAGTACAGATGTATATCCTAGGATGGTTGAATATGGACCAAGAAACACATGTTTAACCACATAAAGTGGTGAATTAACGTGCAGGACTGGATAGGAATGACTTTGACGCAGCAAACGGTGGTGATTCGACCATGAAAAATGGATACAATGATGATTTGGGTTTTGATGGTTATTAAGTACGAAAATTAGCTGTAACCAATTGACATGCAGAAAAGGAAGTGTTTACCCTCCGGTAAACGTTCACAGCTTGCGAACTGGATCATCACGATAGGCAAATCAACTATTTTCATGGGCCATATTTTCTATAGCTATGTTAGTTTATCAGAGGGTAATCATCAACAAAAATGGATTGAACCAGGCTTTTAGATTGACACATCCACTGGTCGGCAATGTTCGGAACTTCCAGGTAGCTAAAGAAGCAAAAGTGGAGATATGGGTCTCTCTGGAAATGGGGGTATATCAATGGCCATTCCAGGATCCGATTGATTGGAGGTACCTACCATATATAAGGCCTAAATTTCAGGGAATATCCCCAGAAAATATGGCCAGAAATATGGTACAGTAGCTCCAATTTAGGATCCTGGAGATCTCCCATTGAGTATACCGCAGAAATGGCAATGGTTTTTTTTTTCGGAGAATGGTGATTCACCAGCCAGTGGACTTGGGAACTTGGGATTCGGCTTCGGTTTTCGATTTCCCATATTTTCGGACCAGGGCCATATTACCAAGTTATTCCCAGAATTGAGAATGCAACAAAGAACACTGGGTTATTTCAAGGTCACAGTTTTGATCCCATTTTCGGCAGTAAAAAAACATGTTTTCATTTTACTGGGTGCCCATCATCGATGGGCCATGGCGCCACCATAGCTCTTTTTTCGTGGAGGGGCACCACCCGTATGGGCTCAGCACACCCGGATTTCCCTTTTGTGCGGCTGCTATCACAAGATGGAACAATAAAATCACCATAAAATCACCATGAAATCACCATATGATTCTTAGAATGTCCCCAGGTTTTTTGTTGATTGTACCGCTATTATGATTGGCCATGTTATTTTCATGATCCATCAAATGGCTCAATCCATTTTTCGGGTCGGCCCCTCAGCCCCAGTACGTCGATGAGGCACCGGTGTTCGGTCCGATAACGCGGCAGTAGAAAAGAGAAGGGAACATGCCGCCGCAAGGAATGGACGGATGAGAGGATCATTCCACTTAGTAACCGGTTCATCACCCTACAAGGTGGTGCTCCATAGTTAGCTAAGTTGGTGCCAATAACTCCCATAACTATGGTTTATGGCAGATATAACTATAGTATTCATGGGGTTTATAAACCAACGTTCACATCACTGGGGGGCACCATCCTGTAATTTTTGTCGGTTCCCGGAGTCGGGTTATCCCATTGATAATCGACACAGGTCATAGGTTTTTTTACCCACTGCCACTCGCCAGTTATTTTTCAGTGGGATCCTCAAAGTAGCTGAAGGCCAGGAGATGCCAGGAGAAATTTAGGTGTGTAAATATAGAATTGATCTAGTGTCATCTAGCCAACGAAAAAACACGGTTATATATGTTTTGATCAGTAAAAGATACCAATAATCATTGGATTTGAGGCGAGGCAGATCATGGGAATGTTGGCTGCAACCCCCGTCGTTCGTTGGTAATGTGGTGCATACAAAATAAGAGCACCGAAAAGTTGTTTACTTTAGATATTCCAAAAATGGACGGCTCCATGACGATGGTATGGATTTTGTTTTGTTCTAGGAGGATTTGACAAAAATCAACTTCCCAAATTTGTTTCTAGGGAAAATGTGTTGTTGTGAAATCCCCATATGTGGTTTGTAAATCCATGGCTTCAAACTAAAGCCATGGTGAATGGATCCATGGTTTCTGACATAGGTCCTGAGTGGATCATCCCAATATCGCGTGGTGACCTATGTCACTGGATGGGTACAAACTAATCCAAAAAAGTTTTTGGCAAAAACAACCATGAAAACCAAAGATTTATAACTCTTATGATTAGGGTAAATAGCCTTGTGTCATGGACTTTTTGATGATTTTTTGTGGACTACCAAAGATTGACCCTGCTGAATCTTGCTGATATTTGATGATCCCAATGAGTTGGGTGTTTTGACATACCCTCTGGTTATGTCAAAATAGCTATGGAAACTGGTGCTATTTTTGTCGATGATTTACCGTATTGAAACTGGTGATGTGAAAAATAGCTATGTCGAATTACCAGATGGATTATATATATATATCCCCGTATAACTGGAACTGCACTTCCAAGTTTATCATCATCATTCGTCCCATTATGTGACGGCAGTGTCGGATTGCCCGTTTTTGCAAAGACAGATATTGGATAGTGCTGGTGACCTCCCATGTTTTTTCGAATTGTAGATTGTAGATGTCCAATGATGTCCAAAAGAAAAACCTCATCTTCAAAAGCTTGAATGATTAGCGGTGCGGATATAAATCGAATTCGACAATATCCAAAGAAATCTCCAGATTTGCCCATCAATTCTTTTAATTTAATGAATTTCCCAGGACATAATCCCATTAGCACAGGATGGTGCTCCCCATAAGCTGGTTTATAAAGCCTATTGTAGTTATATCTATCATAAACCATACTTAGTCTCCTCCCCCTAATATTCAACACCCCCTTAGAAACCATGGTTTAATAGGGAATTTCCACATAATTGGGACCGGGGTGTTTAATATGAACGGGGGAGGGGATTATAACATATTATAACCAACTTAACCATAGCTTATACCAACATAAACCATACCAACATAAACCACTGGCTATATCTATCAACCATACTTAACCGAGTTCACCAAACTTATCGTTTCAATGGTCGTTTCAAGGGATCCAAATTTTCTGGGGCTATTCCCTTATAGGCCTTATATAAATAGGCCAAAAATAGATGGTACTGTAGGTACCTCCAATAAATCGGTTCCTGAAATGACCAGTGATTATATGCCAATGATCAACCATTATTAACCATGATTAACCATGATTAACCACTATTAGGTAAGCCAAAAATATATGGAATCGGATAATCGGTACCTCCAATAAATCGGTTCCTGAAATGACCAGTGATTATATACCAATGATCAACCATTATTAACCATGATTAACCATGATTAACCACTATTAGGTTCCTGCATGGCCATTGATCCTTCCGGGGCCCCCGGCCCCAGTAACAAAAAGACGTCCCGTTGTCCACGGTTTGTCGAGGAGATCAATGAGCTGCTTCAGCCGGATTTTCCGGTGCGGCAGGGTACAGTTGACACTGTGACCATGTGCCAAGAATAATGGAAATATAATACATATAATATTATATATACGTATATGTATATATATATATATATACATATATATATACATATATATATATACATATATATATATATACATATATATATATACATATATATATATATATATGTTTATGTATATATATATATGTATGTATATGTATGTATATAATATATGTATACGTATGTATATATATATGTATATGTATATGAATGGCAATCGTGAATGGCAATCTTTGATGGGAATTGGTGGATTTATGTCAGATGATATAGGATTTAAGCATCAAATTGGAGACTTAACATGATTTGACAAATTAAGCAGTGGCAGCTAAACCTTTCTGATTGATGATTAGTTCAGGATATATTGGGGATTATCATAATACACTATGGGAAATCCTATTAACCAAACTGTGTAGGGAATGACAGTGGGTTTTGAACACTGCTCAAGTTAGTTGGACTGAATCATTAGAAATAGATATTTGATGGGACAGTAATGGGTATATTTTAGGGGATTGTATAACCAAAACTAATGAGAAGTTGGATGATATACCGACAATAGCCATTTTGTGGGCTGGTCATCAATGCATTAATAGCGGTTTCTCCCATACAAGGAATTCCCTGATGGTGGGATGACCATACCCCCAGTTCAACAGGTTTGACAACACCCAAGAGATGAATCGGACAATTTTCAATGGTATTTATAATAACGAACCATGTTTGATTGGGAATATGATTGGTTTTTTGGAATTTCGCGAAGAATTTTTGGATCTGGATGGTGGGCGAATCATGGAGATGTTATCCATTTCAGCAATGTTGAAGGGTTTGACCCATCCCCATATCTAAAATTTTGGGGATCCATGATCAATCACAGTTTGGTTAATAGGATTTCCCATCCTGTATTATGATAATCCCCAATATATCCTGAACTAATCATCAATCAGATGATCAATCGAAAATTCATTCCCAAAATTGCACTTGGGGACAACCAACCGCTGTCAAATGTCAGCGGTTGTCAATTCAGTGAATGAAGAAACTCGCCGTGTGGCTGTGTCTCTCCATGATGTCCCCAATATTCATCACCATACAGATCCATACAAAATCAATGGATTGGTTTAAGGGAAAATTTACAGGAAACCATGTTTTTACCATTAAATATGGGGTTTTCCTGTAAAATTTCCCCTAAACCAATCCAGTGACAAAATTGTTCGCTAGATCCAAAAAAAAAGGGTCATATTCCCAATCAAACATGGTTTTTCCCCAGATGTTCTCCATGAACACCTCAGCCTTTTGGCCTTTTGGGGTATCGTCAGGGCGCAGTCTGGGATGAAGTCTCAAGGCGCTTGGCGCCCTTACTGGTGCAAGCTGAAACAGGCGGGATCGGTAAGTTTCTAGAAGATTTGGATACAGGATGGGGCCCCCCAGTGATGTTTGTTGGTTTATAAACCAATGTAACCCCCAGTAACTATAGTTATATCTACCAGAAACCATAGTTAAGTGGTTCTTTTAGCAGAAATTGAGTTCCGGCGAAGTCGACTGAGTGATTTAGTGATTTTTGCTTATGAATTCAAACCAGAAATGGACTAAGCGAGGGAGTTTGATGGATTTAAGGAACCAAATCCAACCATGTTGGAGAAGCGGTTCAGAGCCTGTGAAATCCTCAGATGAGGAGCTAAAGAGCCCCACAAAACCAGAGGACCAAAAGAACGAAGTTTGTATGCTGGATTTCACGTCAACTTTTTTTAACCGCCTTGCTTGTGGGTTTTTGCCAGCGCCATGGGCCCTACCATACCCAGTCATTCTGGGGCTGTCAATATTACCTCTAGTGACAGCCCACAAGAAATCATCATCATCATCATCATCAAGAAAAGCAGTTTGTTTTTATTCAAGTCATATATATATATGTATACATATATATATATACATATATATATATACATATATATATATATATACATATATATATATATAGGGTCCCTGTTTTTGGCTGATCGAAATGTCGTGTGCTGATCACCTGTTTTTAAGGTCATCTCCCAGTGGCGGTGTGAAATCTCTGAAAGCTCGGTGAAATCCCGTTGTGTTTTTGTCGAACTTTTTCCGAATAGAGGTCATATCGTTGGTGAAATCTCCATTGTATCATGGTGGTATCCCAGTTTTGAAAGATGATACCCTCTGGCAAACGTTTACATAACTATGGAAAATCACCATGCTATGTATGGGTAAATCCACTATTTCTATGGCCATTTTCAATAGCGAACTGTTAGTTTACCAGAGGGTAACATGCCAAATCCTAAAGGGAATACCACCATGGTCCCGTGAATACTCCGAGTATTTGCCGCTTCAATCATTCTTAGTCTCCGCGTTCGCGCCAAAGCCTTCTTCATCACCTCCTGAAAGAACCCCAGACAACTCGAAAAAAAACGCCGGTCAAAAACGGGGATTCTGCAGTGATTTTCACCAAATCGGCAGGGATTTCAAATGTCCATGGATTTCCGGGGTCGGGGTCGGATGGGTTTCTGCCATTTTAACATGCTAAAGCCAACATAGTCCTTGAAATTCACACACTATCCCATACTAAAAAAAATGCTGACACTTGAAAAACCATGTCTAACTGTTTGCATGAAATATTTCCCGAATCAGTGAAAAATCACCGGTTTAATATGCGTTAAGCCTTATTTCTTGAGGGAAAATTCGACCACTGGAATTTACCCATTTTCGACTGCTGAGCTCCTTACTTGCATGGTGAAACCACTAATGTTGGTGAATAAGGATTCCCAGTTCATGGATTCTGATATCCCTCATATTTTTAGTTGGTCAGCGACCCCCTAAAAAAGCATCAATCAACCATCACTTATCAAATATGCTGCCATCACTTATCAGCAGCATGTTGAAACCAATGAAAACTCATAGTAGACTCCCATGTTTCATCCATTTTCACAAGCATCATCAACATTCATCAACCAACGAGGTTGTTGAACGCAGCTCTCACCAGGCGCGGTGCAACTGAAACGCTTGCTACAGATCTGTGCAGAGCGAAAAGTGCCACCGGAGGAGCGAGTCCAGGTACACAAGAGGCGAAGAAGCGAAGCGACAAGGGACGACCGTGGAGGATGGCTTTAGAATCAATGGGTAGTGGTGATATAATGGGGAATATACTGGGATAAATATGTATATATTTATTTATTTAATTATTCAAAGATTTATTTATTTATATGTAATTGCCTCTATACATACATACATACATACATACAGACATACAGACATACAGACATACAGACATACAGACATACAGACATACAGACATACAGACATACAGACATACAGACATACGTACGTACGTACGTACATACGTACATACATACGTACATACATACAGACATACAGACATACAGACATACAGACATACAGACATACAGACATACGTACGTACGTACGTACATACGTACATACGTACGTACAGACATACATATATACACCCATACATACATACATACATGTATGCATACATACATACATACATACATACATATATACATACAGACATACATACATACATACATCCATACATACGTACATACGTACGTACATACAGACATACATCCACACATACATACATACGTACGTACACACAGACATACGTACATGCATACATACATACATACATACATACAGACATACATACAAACATACATGCATGCATACATACAGACATACATACATACAGACATACAAACAGACAGACAGACATATATACAGACATACACACAGAGATACATACATACAGACATACATACAGACATACATACATACATACAGACATACATACATACAGATATACATACGTTACATACATACAGACATACATACAGACATACATACATACATGCATACGTATTAAAAATATGATATAGGTGTGTCCAAAAGTGAGAGATTTACTCCTGAAACATGAAATTTGGGGATATCTATGTTCATGAATCTCAGGTTCCAAATATGTGAAACTCCGGGATGCCCCTGAGAAGTCCCATTTATATTGGCACCAATGCCCGCATTCATTGTCGTCTCGAACCCCAAGCAAATTGACAGGCTTTCCTCATGACCCTTGCCTATATATAGATATAGAGATAGATATAGATATATAGAGATAGATATAGATAGGTGTAGGTAGATAGATCGATAGATAGATAGATAGAGGTAGATAGATAGATAGATAGGATAGATAGGATAGATAGGATAGATAGGATAGATAGGATAGATAGGATAGATAGGATAGATAGGATAGATAGGATAGATAGGATAGATAGGATAGATAGGATAGATAGGATAGGATAGATAGGATAGATAGGAAAGATAGGATAGATAGGATAGATAGGATAGATAGGATAGATAGGATAGATAGGATAGATAGGATAGATAGGATAGATAGGAAAGGTAGGAAAGATAGGAAAGATAGGAAGATAGATAGATAGATAGGTAGGTAGGTAGGTAGATAGATAGATAGATATAGGTATATATAGGTATATATAGGTATATATAGGTATATATAGGTCTATATAGGTATATATACGTAGGTTTATATAGGTATATATAGGTATATATAGGTATATATAAGTATATATAGGTAGATATAGGTAGATATAGGTATATATAGGTAGATAGGTAGGTAGATACAGGCATCTGACAAAGTCGTACCTGTTTTAGGAAAAAAACGTTGTGCCTTCGGGAAGTGTGTTTCGCAAAAGTCGTGCTTTGGACATAACCCGTTTTCTTATGAGATCACGTAGCTGATCACTATTAGCATGCAGAATTCCAGGTTGTGGGTATGTTGATTAGTTATAGGGAAGATGGCGTTGAGCTGGTGATTTGATGATTTTGGATGTTCATCCCAGTTATCCTGTTTTTCCCCGAATGCGTAGCGAAGGGTTCCCGTTTATAGTCTGGGGGTCTGGGGGCTGGACCCTTGTTCGCCTCGAGTGGCTCGTCGCGTCGTCGTCGGGTCGGCGTCGCGTCGTCGTCGGGTCGGCGTCGCGTCGTCGTCGCGTCGTTAATTCCGTGTCTATGGGGGAAGCTGCAAAACCTCTCCTTTTCGAAGGTTTCCAAGCAGGTTGTCATGTCAGTTTGTAGCACAAAGTAGTACTGGGAAGTAGTTTGTGCAAGCTTTGTAGTACAAAGTAGTACTGGGAAGAACTTTGTGCAAGCTTTGTAGTACAAAGTAGTACTGGGAAGTGCTTTGCGCAAGATTTGTGGTAAAAAGTAGTACTGGAACGTGCTTTGTGCAAGCTTTGTAGTACAAAAGTAGTACTGGGAAGGACTTTGTGCAAGCTTTGTAGTACAAAATAGTACTGGGAAGTGCTTTGTGCAAGCTTTGTAGTACAAAGTAGTACTGGGAAGTTCTTTGTGCAAGCTTTGTAGTACAAAGTAGTAATGGGAAGGACTTTGTGCAAGCTTTGTAGTACAAAGTAGTACTGGGAAGTACTTTGTGCAAGCTTTGTAGTACTGGGAAGTGCTTTGTGCAAGTAGTACAAAGTAGTGCTGGGAAGTAGTTTGTGTAAACTTTGTAGCGTGCAAGCTTTGTAGTACAAAGTAGTACTGGGAAGGACTTTGTGCAAGCTTTGTAGTACAAAGTAGTACTGGGAAGGACTTTGTGCAAGCTTTGTAGTACAAAGTAGTACTGGGAAGTGCTTTGTGCAAGCTTTGTAGTACAAAGTAGTACTGGGAAGTAGTTTGTACAAGCTTTGTAGTACAAAGTAGTACTGGGAAGTGCTTTGTGCAAGCTTTGTAGTACAAAGTAGTACTGGAACGCGGTTTGTGCAAGCTTTGTAGTACAAAGTAGTACTGGGAAGTCCTTTGTGCAAGCTTTGTAGTACAAAGTAGTACTGGGAAGTGCTTTGTGCAAGCTTTGTAGTACAAAGTAGTACTGGGAAACACTTTTTGCAAGCTTTGTAGTACAAAGTAGTGCTGGGAAGTAGTTCGTGCAAACTTTGTAGTACAAAGTAGTACTGGGAAGTGCTTTGTGCAAGCTGTGTAGTACAAAGTAGTACTGGGAAGGACTTTTTGCAAGCTTTGTAGTACAAAGTATTGCTGCGAAGTAGTTTTTGCAAGCTTTGTAGTACAAAGTAGTACTGGGAACGACTTTGTGCAAGCTTTGTAGTACAAAGTAGTACTGGAACGTGCTTTGTGCAAGCTTTTTAGTACAAAGTAGTACTGGAACGTGCTTTGTGCAAGCTTTGTAGTACAAAGTAGTGCTGGGAAGTAGTTCGTGCAAACTTTGTAGTACAAAGTAGTACTGGGAAGTGCTTTGTGCAAGCTGTGTAGTACAAAGTAGTACTGGGAAGGACTTTGTGCAAGCTTTGTAGTACAAAGTAGTACTGGGAAGTGCTTTGTGCAAGCTTTGTAGTACGAAGTAGTGCGTGCAAACTTTGTAGCGTGCAAGCTTTGTAGTACAAAGTAGTACTGGGAAGTGCTTTGTGCAAGCTTTGTAGTACAAAGTAGTACTGGAACGCGGTTTGTGCAAGCTTTGTAGTACAAAGTAGTACTGGGAAGTCCTTTGTGCAAGCTTTGTAGTACAAAGTAGTACTGGGAAGTGCTTTGTGCAAGCTTTGTAGTACAAAGTAGTACTGGGAAGGACTTTTTGCAAGCTTTGTAGTACAAAGTAGTACTGGGAAGGACTTTTTGCAAGCTTTGTAGTACAAAGTAGTGCTGCGAAGTAGTTTTTGCAAGCTTTGTAGTAAAAAGTAGTGCTGGGAAGTACTTTGTGCAAGCTTTGTAGTACAAAGTAGTACTGGGAAGTCCTTTGTGCAAGCTTTTTAGTACAAAGTAGTACTGGAACGTGCCTTGTGCAAGCTTTGTAGTACAAAGTAGTGCTGGGAAGTAGTTCGTGCAAACTTTGTAGTACAAAGTAGTACTGGGAAGTGCTTTGTGCAAGCTGTGTAGTACAAAGTAGTACTGGGAAGGACTTTGTGCAAGCTTTGTAGTACAAAGTAGTACTGGGAAGTACTTTGTGCAAGCTTTGTAGTACAAGGTAGTACTGGAACGTGCTTTGTGCAAGCTTTGTAGTACAAAGTATTGCTGTGAAGTAGTTTGTGCAAGCTTTGTAGTACAAAGTAGTACTGGGAAGTAGTTTGTGCAAGCTTTGTAGTACAAAGTAGTACTGGGAAGTGACCCAGAGAATAGAAAAATAATGATGCAGAATCCCAGCGTTGACATGCAGGTTGCACACGAGAATTACAGTATAAGAGAGTAGAAAATCAATATTTTCATCAATCGCGTTCCATTGTGTTTCATTGGTTTTTCATGTCTAAAATGCATGGTTACACTTTTATTGAGGACAGCGTTCCATGCAGAAAAACATTTAGGCATGACTTAGGCATGACTTCTTGGATACAGCGTTTACAATGGTAAATGCCATTCAAAAACATGCTAGGCATGACTTAGGCGTGACATTGTCGCTTCCCTGTAGATAGGTAGAAAGATAGATAGATAGAGATATAGGTAGATATAGGTAGATATAGGTATATATAGGTAGGTAGGTAGATAGATAGGTAGAAAGATAGATAGATAGAGATATAGGTAGATATAGGTAGATATAGGTATTTATAGGTAGATAGGTAGGTAGATAGATAGGTAGAAAGATAGATAGATAGAGATATGGTAGATATAGGTAGATATAGGTAGATATAGGTAGATATAGGTAGATATAGGTAGATATAGGTAGATATAGGTAGATATAGGTAGATATAGGTAGATAGATAGATATACGCATTGGTCTTACAACTCTTAATTCAATATTTAATGTCTACCCTGATATAGTAACATGACCCATTTGTCCGGGGCAGCCACTTGCTGTGACAATGAGTAAAAGGAAGCTGGGTATGCCGTAAGTGCAATACGGTGAGCCCATGGAACCAAGAGTTGGACTTTCATGGCTGAGACAATCAACAAAAAAATCGCTTACCCTCCGGTAAACAAACATAGCTATTGAAAATGGCCCAGTCGAAATAGTGGATTTACCCATAAAAATCGCATGGTGGATCTTTCCAGTTCGTTATTTAAGCCCGTTTACCAGAGGGTATCAGTCATAGCAGGCGCAGGCTGTTTTCACATGACAAAAATCCGCCCAAATCATCTCTGGCAACCTGGGAAATGTAAGCTCCATTGTTGTTGCTTTAAAGTCCCATATGTTTGTTGGTTGAAGCTCCATTGTTGTTGGTTACCGTCTGGTAAACGTTCACAGTTTGCGAAGTTCGGTAAATCAACGAAGTAAATGAGCCATGGTTTCGCTATGTCAGAAAATGTCAGAAATTTACCAACTATAAATGGGCCATTTCAATAGCAACATGGTATTTTTTCTATTTCCCACAAGGTGGTGCCCCAGTTCGTTAGCTAAGTTGGTGCCAATAACTCCCATAACTATGGTTTATGGCAGATATATCAAGTTATAACTGTAGTCAGTGGGGTTTACAAACCAACTTACCCTCTGGTAAACGTTTACATAGCTATTGAAGCCATGGCCCAGTCGAAATAGTGGATTTACCTATTAAACATGATGATTTTCCAGTTCGTTATGTTCATTTACCTAGCTAGAGTTAATATTAGCTATGATAGAATGGTTAATATAGCTACTATACACCAAAAATCATAAACCATAGTTATTGGAGTTATACACCAACTTAGCTATCTTGGGGGCCTCACATTGTATAGTTAATGGGCTTTATAAACCAACTTTACCCAGATTTGCCGCCAGGTTGGCGAAGTTTTTTTGGAGCCAGCTGGATCCCCGGCGTCGAGTGGAGGCAGGGGAAGGTAACAAGGCGTAACAAGGCGTTTCTGTTCGCTTTTTCATGGTAAAACAATGTCATAACTGGGTAAATCTATGGTAAATCTATGGTAAATCTATGATGAATCTATGGTAAATCTATGGTAAATCTATGATGAATCTATGGTAAAACTATGGTAAATCTATGATGAATCTATGGTAAATCTATGGTAAATCTATGATGAATCTATGGTAAATCTATGGTAAATCTATGGTAAATCTATGGTAAATAAATGGTAAATCTATGGTAAATCTATGGTAAATCAATGGTAAATCTATGGCAAATCAATGGTAAATCTATGGTAAATCTATAGTAAATCTATGGTAATCAATAATCAACCATATTATAATGTAGGGAAAACAATGCCATTTTTACCAGCCATTACTAGGAATGGTAACCATACCACCTATAAAAATGGTGATGACTGGGGGATGGTTTATAACATTGTTTTACCCACATTACTGTTGTTTAAGGGAGTTAAACTGGAAATAGTGATTACCAACTGACCCAGAGTAGGGAAACCTATCTAGTCTAACCGACACAAGGGATTTAACGACCAAATATTGGTTTTGGCCATTGAAAATAAGTATGTAACTGATACATGATTGTTTTTACTGTGTTTTTATGTAGGGCATTATACTACTGGGCATCAATCATGCTAGTAAAGCAATAATATAAACCACCCATACTTAAAGATGGGTTATGGTAAATTTGGGGATGGTGGATCCTGTTGCTTTACTAACATTAGGGAGTTATACTACTGGGAATATTGGTGATTATGATCAAACCCATACTTGTAGCAGTGAAACCTATCAATCAACTAATGTGATGAGATGGGATAGGTTTTTTTTAATGGGACGATTGGAACAAGCCATTGAACTGTCTAAAAATTGGGCATAGAATAAAATAGTTACCCTCTGGTTATTTAACATATCCATGGAACATGGCCCATTTATAGATGGTTTACCTATTAAATATGGTGATTTTCCATGGCTATGTTAAATAATCAGATGGTATAGGAAAATGATGATTACCCTCTGGTAATTTAACAGTTCGCTATTGAAAATGACCATAGAAATAGTGCATTTACCTATTAAAACGGTTTTCCCATAGTTTTTTGTATGTTTACCAGAGGGTAACATTGATGAACCATCAAATTTGGCGGCACCTGATTTTCAGGCAAACCCAACTGGTGAGCTTTTCCTATTTGGATGAAAATGGCCCAGTCATGGATGGTTCACCTAGAAATGGCTCCAAAAGGTGGTGTCCAGGTATGTTTTCTGGTTATCCCAACACAACTCGATATGTCCCTTGTCAACAACACAAAGCACCTGAACCAAAGCAACTTAGCATAACTCAACTATACATGAATATAAATTATAGATGTCCTCGGCCTAGCTTAAATCAGTGAAATCACCCAAAAAATCAACGGAAAATTCGCCAAGTGGCAACCGTTGTCCGCCGAAGGCGTGCTTCCACTTCTTCCGCACCGGAAATTTGGCGAGACTACTGGACACGCTGGTGGAGTGGCCAATTTTTCAGCCGCCTGGCACCGATGTCTTTCGTGGTTCTTGATGCATGGAAAAAAGGGGGGGTCCATAAATATTAAGGTACCCCAAAATGAATGGTTTATTTCATGGAAAATCATGTTTGAATGGATGAGTTGGGGGTACCCTATTTTAGGAAACCTCCATATCATGATATCAAAATAGATCTAGACTTACACGTACTTACTTATATGTTATATATAGAGCTACCGGGTAAATTATAACGACCTGAATGCGACCTCACTGGAATGATGGTTATTTAGTAAGGAAAACTATCTGCCTTATTTCATGTCAATGAAATCTCAGGGTTTACCCTGACATACGGATAGAGATATAGTTATAGTATGAGTCTGAGTCATTAAATATAGTCAATCTTATTTGTGATTATTTATGTATGTGTACTTTCTTGCGATGCATGTGCGTGTATATATAATATATATATATACGTGTATATATGTATGATTATATGATTATGTGTGTGTATGTAAATCTATGTATATTTTTTAATGGGCCATAGCTGGACGTACATAGAATACGTTGGAATTTTCCAAAAACTATTGTTTGCAAGTGATTCTAAACCGGATATCTCAGCTCGGTTATATCATCCCTCTGGAAATTCGTTGATTCTATCAGTTCTATCCCAACATTCCCTGGTTGGTGACATACCCGTGATGCTGGGAAATTCTGCAGTGACTTGAAGTGAGGCTTAAAATGAAGGTTTCCTATACCCACCGGTAACTCAACAGTTCACTATGGAAAATGCTCCATTTATAGATGTTTATACAGTTTATACATCATTAAGAAAATGTGTTTTTTTTCACGTTCGCAAACTGTTGAACTACCAGAGGATATCCATTCATCATGGAAATCTTAAGTCACAAAACCACATCACTGTCCATGTCACCCGAATATACCTTGAGATCAATCCATTCTCAGCATCGATCCCTCAGGGTCTTGGAACGCGATCATCGTTCTGTAACCTGGTGCTGCGGGGGTCCACTTGAAACGGTAGGGGATTTTTTTTTAATGGTAGGGGAAACCTACGTAGCAAGAGACCAGGTGAGGTTACCAAACCACTTTCCCACCATGTCCCCTCCGTTTCAAGGGAAAACCAATGAAATATGTCGGGAAAGCCCGGCGGAGAAGTGCTGTCGGACCTTGGGCCTAGTGGGATTTCTCCAGCAAAGGTTGTCAAGGGTAGGTTGTTTGGTTCTTGTTTACCCCAAAGAAACAAGATATTTTGTACCTCAGGCTATAAATATGGTTCTTCTTCTTCATCATCATCATCATCATCGTTTTCATCATCACCATCATCACCATCACCATCTTCGCCATGACCATCTTCACCATCATTATTATCACTATCACCATCACCATCGAGATGGTCACCGGCGCCGTCGCCCTCATTATCAGCAAAATTTCATCGTCATCATGATGAGGATCCCTATGTTTACCAACCGCTAAGCATTGTCAGCGGCGCATTGTTTCTTTTCATCAGCATAATCAGTAGCAAGTTCTTCCAAGTCTCTTTTAAAACTGGAATGTCAAATTCGGCATGAGTGTGGCTTTGGTGATTAGGAATCCTCGGTCAACTTTTCGACGCGCCTAAGGCACTTCTGGAATATTGTCGTGCTGTGGGAGGACCAATGGGCGAGAGGAAATGATTTGGAGCTTGACCATGAATTTGGAGTTGGGATAGACATGCTATCTTTGGCTAGCAGTTTGATAACAATTATCAAACGGAATGAGGTTTTTCCCAGTAAACCCAACATTGAGCCATCTCCAATTGTGGTTTATTTCAAGGCTTATTATTTTTCGTATACCTCTAGCAGGATGATGTAAAATGACCCCCAGGGTTACCTCTAGCAGGATGGTTTTATGGTTTAGAAGCTGCGAAACGTTGATAGATCCTAGTGGTGCAAGTCTTCAAAAGCCATATTTAAGCCGGGTAAGCATCGGTTGTCATGGAGAAAACCCAGCATGGCATATCTTGGCCATTTCAGGTACCTAAACTGGAGGCATGCCACATAAAGCCAAAGAAATTGAAGGTACACCCCTTTACATAGCCCTAAGAAATAGACCAAGCATATACTGAAGCTACCTCCAATAAATCGGTTCCTGAAACTGCCATAGAAATCCCATAGAAATCCTATGAATCCATAGAAATCCCATAGAAATTCTACTAAAAACCCACTCTTGCATCACTGTCACTTCCAGAAAACGACAGTCCTAGTCAGGATACGCTGTCGTTCGGCGAACCCTGGCGAAGGCGACACCTTGGGCCTCCGAGAAAAACCAGAGGAAAATGGTGATTTATCGAAGCAAAATGTGGATTTTTCGGGGATTTTTCTTGCTGATTTGTGATCGCTTGTGGAAGATATAACCAGTTGGGTTTGTTGGTTGACAAACCCCATTAACTGTAGTTATAATATATAGCTATAATATATAGTTAATGGGCCTTCTAAGAGAAGTAGCTGAATTTTTATGTCGAGTTCAGCTTGGTGAATCATTGTAAAGTGTTCAGATGCCGGAAAGGTAATCGCATCTTTCTGGAAGATCTGTAGAGAATGAGAATTGTTGCCCTCAAGGTCGGCATGATGGGTGATGTTTTTGGTTCCCAGCTCTGTTGCAAATGGCAGGGAATCTAACCTGGCTGGATAATTCAGATACCATGGGATGGTTTATGGATTTGAAGGAAAAATGAACCATTCCACAATGGTAATTTGATCTAGATAGACAGGGAATACCAAAGGGATATTCATATATATATATATATATGTATACACTAATATATATATATATATATATGTACATACATATACTCATATTGAATTGCTAAAACACTGATGAATTGATGGTTGTTCCATTTAAGATTGGGACTTGCTGGCCAGCTATGTTTGAAGCTTAACCATTGATCCATCGTATGTCCAGGGTACTTGGAGGATCATCCATGATTCGTGGTATCGTGGTTAGTAACTAGAGTCATAAGCCATAAATATCCATGGGGATTATCCCATTTAGTAACTAGTTAACTAGAGTCATAAGCCATAAATATCCCATTTAGTAACTAGAGTCATAAGCCATAAATATCCCACTTTAGTAACTATTTAGTAACTAGAGTCATAAGCCATAAATAAATATCCCATTTAGTAACTAGAGTCATAAGCCATAAATATCCCATTTAGTAACTAGAGTCATAAGCCATAAATATCCCATTTAGTAACTAGAGTCATAAGCCATAAATATCCCATCTTTAGTAACTAGAGTCATAAGCCATAGATATCCCATCTTTAGTAACTAGAGTCATAAGCCATAGATATCCCATTTTTAGTAACTAGAGTCATAAGCCATAGATATCCCATTTAGTAACTAGAGTCATAAGCCATAGATATCCCATTTAGTAACTAGAGTCATAAGCCATAAATATCCCATTTAGTAACTAGAGTCATAAGCCATAAATATCCCATTTAGTAACTAGAGTCATAAGCCATAAATATCCCATTTAGTAACTAGAGTCATAAGCCATAAATATCCCATTTAGTAACTAGAGTCATAAGCCATAAATATCCCATTTAGTAACTAGAGTCATAAGCCATAAATATCCCATTTAGTAACTAGAGTCATAAGCCATAAATATCCCATTTAGTAACTAGAGTCATAAGCCATAAATATCCCATTTAGTAACTAGAGTCATAAGCCATAAATATCCCATTTAGTAACTAGAGCCATAAGCCATAAATATCCCATTTAGTAACTAGAGCCATAAGCCATAAATATCCCATTTAGTAACTAGAGTCATAAGCCATAAATATCCCATTTAGTAACTAGAGTCATAAGCCATAAATATCCCATTTAGTAACTAGAGACATAAGCCATAAATATCCCATTTAGTAACTAGAGTCATAAGCCATAAATATCCCATTTAGTAACTAGAGTCATAAGCCATAAATATCCCATTTAGTAACTAGAGTCATAAGCCATAAATATCCCATTTAGTAACTAGAGTCATAAGCCATAAATATCCCATTTAGTAACTAGAGTCATAAGCCATAAATATCCCATTTAGTAACTAGAGTCATAAGCCATAAATATCCCATTTAGTAACTAGAGTCATAAGCCATAAATATCCCATTTAGTAACTAGAGTCATAAATATCCCATTTAGTAACTAGAGTCATAAGCCATAAATATCCCATTTAGTAACTAGAGTCATAAGCCATAAATATCCCATTTAGTAACTAGAGTCATAAGCCATAAATATCCCATTTAGTAACTAGAGTCATAAGCCATAAATATCCCATTTAGTAACTAGAGCCATAAGCCATAAATATCCCATTTAGTAACTAGAGCCATAAGCCATAAATATCCCATTTAGTAACTAGAGCCATAAGCCATAGATATCCCATTTAGTAACTAGAGTCATAAGCCATAGATATCCCATTTAGTAACTAGAGTCATAAGCCATAGATATCCCATTTAGTAACTAGAGTCATAAGCCATAAATATCCCATTTAGTAACTAGAGTCATAAGCCATAAATATCCCATTTAGTAACTAGAGTCATAAGCCATAAATATCCCATTTAGTAACTAGAGTCATAAGCCATAAATATCCCATTTAGTAACTAGAGTCATAAGCCATAAATATCCCATTTAGTAACTAGAGTCATAAGCCATAAATATCCCATTTAGTAACTAGAGTCATAAGCCATAAATATCCCATTTAGTAACTAGAGTCATAAGCCATAAATATCCCATTTAGTAACTAGAGTCATAAGCCATAAATATCCCATTTAGTAACTAGAGTCATAAGCCATAAATATCCCATTTAGTAACTAGAGTCATAAGCCATAAATATCCCATTTAGTAACTAGAGTCATAAGCCATAAATATCCCATTTAGTAACTAGAGTCATAAGCCATAAATATCCCATTTAGTAACCAGAGTCATAAGCCATAAATATCCCATTTAGTAACCAGAGTCATAAGCCATAAATATCCCATTTAGTAACCAGAGTCATAAGCCATAAATATCCCATTTAGTAACTAGAGTCATAAGCCATAAATATCCCATTTAGTAACTAGAGTCATAAGCCATAAATATCCCATTTAGTAACCAGTTAGTAACCAGTTCGTAACTAGGATAACCAGCGGGATATTTTGAACAACTAACCGATCGGGATGAGATGGGATGATCATGGCGAAGTGGAAAGATCCACCATGCGATGCGATTTTTTATGGGTACCCTCTGGTAAACATACAAAAAACTATGGAAAATCACCATTTTTAATGGGAAAATCCACTATGTCTATGGTCATTTTCAATAGTTTTTTGTATGTTTACCAGAGGGTAAATCCACTATTTCGACTGGGCCATGTTCAATAGCTACAACTTGACATACCCTCTGGTAATTTAACAGTTCGCTATTGAAGCCATGGCCCAGTCGAAATAGTGGATTTTCCCATTAAACATGGTGATTTTCCATAGTTATGTTCATTTACCTAGCTATAGTTAATATTGAGTATGATAGAATGGTTAATATAGCTACTATAACTATAGTTATAAGTACCATAAACCATAGTTATTGGAGGGTAACCAGGCCGGGTAACCATGGATAACTGGGCTCATTCACCACGGCCACTTTTTTCGGAGAGGCTGGAACAGCGCATCGTCTTCCCCAGCGCATCGTCGTTGGGAGGCAGCGGGCTGAATGTTGAACAGCAAAATGGGGTATAACCTTGGACAAATGAACAAATTTCTATGGTCATTTTCAATAGCGAACTGTTAAATTACCAGAGGGTAATCATCATTTTCCTATACCATCTGGTTATTTAACATAGCCATGGAAAATCACAATTGTTAATAGGTAAACCATCTATAAATGGACCATTTTCAATGGCTATGTTAAATAACCAGAGGGTAATATAAATATATTATGATAATATATATACACATAAGAAATAGATGTTTGGTGGTTGATAGTGAAAAACCATGAAAAACCATGGAGTTTGAATGACTGGTCATTCGAGATGGTCCATGTAAGATGTTTGAAAGGCACTGTGGAGGAACCAACAAGTTTTGGAGCAACGTGGGTTGTCTGAAAGTAGGGTACTCCCAAAAAAATGATTTATAGCATTTTATAGCTGTTTAAAACTCTGTTGTTTTAAGCTTCGCTAAGTTGATCCAACAAAAGACGGTGTCCCTTGGAATCCAAACCCATTCGAAACACCCATAGAGTAGGCTTCCAGTCGGCATTTCGATTGGAAAATCGATGTTCCATTGAGAGTTCCCATCAAACGCTTCTGGTATCTTCTGGTTCACGTGGCCGCAGATTCCTGAGCCACGTGGGGGAGTTTGCTGCAGCCAAAGAGATGCTGCTTGAAGCGAAGTGACTTGGACCTGGCAGCAGATCTGAGAACAAAAAAATCAAGGGATTTTTGGGAGAGAAAAAAAACACGATGGAAACCTAGAAATCTATGGGATCTATGGGGAAATCTTTAAAAAAAAAAACCTGAGAAAATCTATCGGAGGCCTTTAAGGTGACCGTGGTTTTTTGGGGAAAAATGGATGGGAAATGATCGGTTTTACGATAGGAATCTGGGTGTTTCCTGCAAATCTTCCTTTTTCAAAGAAGGCTGGCTAGCTCATTTAATCCACAACAGACCTGTTTTGGTGCTTGAAGGGATGTTGGTGGGTTAATCATGTGGCAAATCCCAAGAGCAGGTTGAGGTGCGTTTTTCAGTGGATCATCAAGGCCACTTGGAAACACTTGTCCAACAAGAAAACGTTGTAGCGCAATCAGAAGTCCAGCAAGTTACCCGTGAGTTGCGAAACTACATGACCGCACATGTGCCTCACCTGACATCCATGTTCGACTGTGAAATGTTGGTCACAGCAGGGCAACATTTTCTGTTTGCCCGTGGCTATTCGGCAGACCGCTCATCTCAGTTCCAACAAGAGATGGTCAGTCGCGCGCCACGTTCATGGATTGACGGTGGCAGAAATGAACGAGGATAACGAGGCGTCCCCTGAATGATTCATGGCTCCTAGCTGCCAAGTACGTCTTCGGATCTCCAGCAGTGTCCCTGCTGCCGTCGATCAAAACGACCCAGTTAATTGCGACCCAATTATCATTAATATAACCATCAATTAATGATAATGATAATCCCATCAATATACCAAGATTCCATCAATATAGCAAGATTTGGGGCCTTTTCTGTGGATGCTTGCGCAATCGAAAACACCAGTGGTGGTGGTTTATCCCATGATTTTTTTCGCATCGGCTTCCCAGGAAAGAAGCTGCTGTCAGCAAAGACCCCACGGACCTAGGGCAGGTGCCCGCTTTTCGCCATAGAAAAGCCATGGTCATTTTCTCACTGATCGTCTCGGCAGCCCGTTCAGTTCTGGGCATGTAACCATGTTTGCAGGTTGCATACTCATATGGGTATGGATCAATACCTATTAATACCATTTTTAGGGGGATGAACATCCATTTACCAGCTATTTTGATGTTCACCAGGGGTACAAGGTTTTGACATACTGCCATATGGTGACCAATACCAAAGAAAATATCATCGTTTCGGAAGATGTTTTATGCAGTCAGCAGCGGCACAAAGTGTTCACCCATCACGTCCATGACTTTGCACCTGGTATTGTCCCACAGCTGGCACAGCTGGTGATTTCTTGCCACCTTTTCAAAGCAGGTTTGCACCCTCATCGCAGAGAATGTGTCATGGCTTGAGTGTGCCCTGCGACAAACTCGCACGGTTCTGGATAGGCGTTCCCAGAAAAATGGTGATTGAACGATGAATGGGTACATTTCATCTGGATAGAATGAAATCGATTATCACGACCTCTATGCACGTCACTGGAATCATGTTAGTAAGGGTAACTATCCCAAAATGGAGGTTTCCTAAAATGGACTGCCCCTAAAGTCATCAATTTTTAACAGGATTTTCCATGAAATAAACCATGAGATATTATAACTTACGAGATGTAGTAACCGTCCCGGATGATGCCTCAGTTTGCGGTCAAATGGGAGGTCAAAATTTATGGCTTAGGAAAACCAGCGATTTTAGTCTATGTTTATATGTTTAGTACCAGGAGTCTTGGGGTACTTCATTTTGATTACCCAAATGTGTTGGGATTGTCGGTCGAAACCATATCACCATCGCTGGCTATGACCACCCTTGCTGGCATGGATCAACCTGAGGTTCCCATCAAACTATGGTTTGGTTGCTGAATTGGAGGAGTTCCAAAAAAAACATGAAAACAAATACTATTGAGATTAGAAACCCCCTAATACATCAGGATATACCAAGTGGCTTAAGTAACCTGATTTCGCTAATTTTTGAAGCTCGGCAGACCATGAGGAGCTACGAAATCTGACCAGGGGATGGGATGACACCAAGTTTCTGCCGTATACCCTCTGTGTTTCTGAAACTGGGGGCAGAAGATCTCATCATTACTCAACTACAAACGGATACGACGCCATCCTGGTTATACTCTGGTTAGCCATATGGGCCATATCCACTGAAATTGGCATGGCAAAACGCCTCTGTTTTGCACGCTGAAAAAAGCCCATTTTGGCTGTTGAACCTTCCCATTTTGCATTACAACAAGATTCAAAATGATGTAGCTCATATCTGCATCTATCCGCATTTTTCCGCATTTTCAAGTGGATAACTCTGTGGATAATATCCCTATGCCGTCCATGCCATCCATGCCATGCCATGGATTTCTCGTCCCTAAGGAGATTCGCTACTGGGATTCCTTGCGCAACTGGAGCTCGCCGGGGGCGCTGAAAGATCTCATGGACAACTCACGTGACCTGACGGCAGGTTGGGAGGATGGAGGGGTTGGAAGGTGTCCCGAAACCAAGGCAAAGTTGGTTGAAAGAACTCCAATTTCACTATGGTTTATGCGGCCATAATATATGTATGTATGTATATATATATATTATATATATATCGCGTTCATAGATGTTCATGGGGTTTATAAGTAGGTAATCCTCTAAAATGGTAAGTTTCCCGCGTCATCAAACGTGGCTGGAAAATGGAGGTTTAGTTTGCTGGGAAATCATCGAAGGTAACCATCAAAAATGCTGATTTTTGACAGGTATAACCAACGATGATCTGGTTGGTGGTTGCAAATATCTTTGTTTTGTGAAAGACGGAGCTTTGATCTGTGAAAAACGATTCACCACAGATCAACGGCAACTCGTAGAGATTTGATGCAATAGGATCCACCGCAAAATCATGGATGGGTGGTTTGAATGACAATCGGTGAAGCGTCGAGATATGAAAAAAACAATAGTTATTATCATAGTTACCATAGATATGACATGGTTGTACATATTTGAATCCCAAATGTTCAGAAAGTTATACCCAAGTTAGACCCTATGGATTCGCCCAGAAACGGCAGTGAACATCTTTGAAGAGCAGCTTCGATCCTGCGATCGCATGAGTTCTCGGGTGGACTACGCACAGGTGGAGTCGAAGTTTAAGCTGTGAAAAATGCGGTTTTAAACCATGAACAGTTATGGAAAATGGTGGTCGAAAGCATCACAAATTGCCAAAACATGGTGGTCTAAGCTCTATGTTTTCAATGCTTACTTGGAGTTTCAAGAGTGAAAATGTGGGATTTAACCAACCAAGATCGGAAATTCATGGAACTGTTTGGCTGACCAAAAAGAAATAAGGAAAGTAACAGGTAAATAAAAAAAACAATCAAAACTGACCGTTTACTAATTAATGATAGTGGACTGAATCAGTTGAAAAATGAAGGTTCAACTGATTGAATGGTTACAAAACCAACCGCATTGGGAACTTGAATGCTCGGGAGCCACCTAGCAAGTATTGAACAGAAGCCACGGAAGCAACCCATGAATCTAACTGAGGACATTCCGATATACCATAAATCTGGGTAAATTATAACGACCTCACTGCGACCTCACTGGAATCATGGTTAGTAAGGGAAATCATCCCCAAATGGCCTTACTTCAGGTTAGTGAAATATTATAATTTACCCAGATAAATATAACTGGCGTATAGAAAGAATTCTTGCTCACCAGCATTACCTGGGATCCCCAACAAAATTTGGGGATTTGTTCATTGTCGAATGGTGCTCCGTAAAAAAATGTGGGTGCTCGTCGCAGGCGAAGCGGGGGATCAACTCATCTAGTGTCGAAAATTTGGATGTGAATTATGAAACAGGAGAGTTCGGCACCAAAATTGGGCTCTGAAAATTCCGAAGAAAAGGGGACATTCGGCAATCGAAAGGAAAGAGTTCACTGAAAGTTGATGTCATCATTTTCCAGGTTGAATCGCAAAGGTGAATCGCCACAATTACTGTGCTATTGTTCGATGCATTTTTTCGGGTTCACAACTTGGAAATCGAGGATTTGATCTTGGACATTCCAACTCAAAAAGAAGGAAGCTACAGTTATGGCCATTTATTAGTTATAACTGGTTATAAATGGGATTATACATTCTATAAATGGGGTTTTCTTAGTACTTATAACTGGTATATCTCGGGCCTTAACTGTACCATTCCATAACAAAAACCTTGCCTACCAGGCTGCTCAGATTTGAACTACCAAACCGTGACCACCATAATTCCCGATTGGGGGAATCGTTGGCACCTATTTCTGGTTGGTGGTTTGGAACATGTTTTTTCCATGTTTGGAACATGTTATTTTTTTCCATTCTGGGAATGTCATCAGCGCTAATAAAAAACTCCATCATTTTTCAGAGGGGTAGGGCTCTACCACCAGCGAGATACTGATATGATACAACGACAAGGTTGGTTTTCCCAATATGATCCCAGGATATCATCCCAATATGAATAACCATCATCATTAGCCATTATTAACAGTATATTAACCAACGACAAAAAGGTCAGGTTTTCCCATGGAAAATCCCATGATATCATCACAATATGGTCAGGATTTCCTCGTGAAATCCCGGCAGGCCTTAAGTCGATGGGCCAATGGTTGCTTCAAGGCCGACCCGAAAGCCGATCGTCAGCGGCATTGCGAGGGGCATTTCTTGACAGTGAATTATTGTAATTTGGCCAGATATATATATATATATATAGATAGATAGATAGATATATATATAGATATATATATATATGATTATAATATTATATATGTATATGATTATAATATTATATATGTATATGATTATATATATAATGTGTATATGGTCATTCTGGAGTTGATAGAATATGGAATGTCCAAAAGATCCTCACTAAAATAAAAACTATCCTTGAAGATCCCAAAGTTTGTCTTCATGATAATTATACAATATGTATATATATATGATCATATGATGATATATGGGTTTTGACCTTGAAATATAATGATATAGCTGATAAATATGATGGTGGTAACATGATCATGTGTATGATATGTGCAACGCGCAAATATATAAAATAGACTAGACATATATACCCATGATTATCCCCACTACTGTCCCAGTATTATTGGTTAAAGAGCCATAACTAGCGTCAATCACTGGGCGCCTCCCATCTGCCCTGCAGATCTCTTGCGTGACGAACATGGTCTTTGCGTACCGTTTCCTAGGCGCCGGCGAGGGTGAAGATGGCGCATCCGAGGGAATGAAAAAAGGGCAGATAGTAGGGATATTCCCATCTTTAACATTTAACATGTTTAACATATCCGCACCTGTATTCATATGTGGAAGGTTGCTAAAAGGCAATCATCCCATCTTCAACATATTCAAAATCCCCAAATGGATGGGTACAAACTAATCCTTGAGGTTTTTCGCTATAAACGGAAAATAACCACAACCAGCAAAAGATTATTTGTTTCTTGACTACCAAAGATTGACCATGGAATGTAATCGGCATATAGCGGCGATATAATGGTAAGAAATAGGGATATCATCGGGATATCATGGTGATAGAGCGGGATATCTATTTACACAACCTGTATGCGAATGTTAAACAGGGCTAGCCTTAAGATCATCAGTGGTTCAAGATGACCTGTCATTTTTCCCTCGTCTTGTTGCTGAAGTTCCCACAGCGAAGAATGTAAGGCTTTGTCCAAGAAATGGCGTGCCCCAAACGAGTTGTTTTAGTGGCTGGTTCAATGCGGAAGATAGTGATAAACCATGATAAGCTGATGGATTTCTAGGAGTTCCCTGAAGATGATATTTTGTTTGCCCATTGACCCATCATTTGGGGATGTAATGGCATTTGTTTATGTTGCATGTCCCCGTCAAGCATAGCTAAGTGCAACCCCTGTGTAGCCATTTGGCGGTATGCCTTCATGTTTATGCCGCAATAGGAAAACTAGAATAAACCATGATAAACCCTTGCTGGTTGGTGGTTTGGAACATGTTTTATTTTCCATAATATATGGGATAATCCTTCCCATTGACTAATATGTTTCAAGATGGTTAACCACCAACCAGCTTGGATTTCAGGGGTACCCCAGGCCCCAACAACTCCACAAAAACGCTAGTCTTCAGATCCAGTGACGCCAAGGGAAGGCGGATGATGCCATCCAGAAAGTGGAGGAATTGTTCAAGGCTCAACAAAGTTGCCGGACCTAGCCACATTTTTTATTGGCCCTGGATATAAGGGGAACTATATCCCAATATCATATACTCATATCTACTAGTTATCGGACTTGTCTCACCAACTGTCTCCAAGTTGGGATTGGAGATATAACATTGGGATATCATTCAGATTTAATTGGCAAATAATTGCAAGATAGTAGGATAATGGGATATCAATTCATGGGATAGGGAAAGGTTTTTTCCCAACAAGGGACCGTTTTCAGCAGTTCAAAGCCGGGCTGGCGTTGGGAGATACCATCTGGAAATCAAACGTGGCTGGAAAATCCTCTATAAATGGAGGGTTGAATGGGAAATCATCAATCATTCTTGGATGTTCCATTGCTGCGTTTCATTACCTGAGGCTATTTTGTTTCAATGTTCTTGGGATATAACTGCGATATACCCTCAGGCAATCAAAGGTGCAATGGAAAATCACGATGTATTTTAGCACAGAGGATCATCCCAGAATCCGCATATTTCCACCTGCGGAATTAGTATAGTTTATGTGTATAATAAATATATATATATATATGAGCAGGGACCCCCACACCCCCCCCCCACCCAGCCAGATGGTTCCACCCCCCCCTGTGGCAGGGGAGGGGGCGTTTTCTCAGCAGCCAAGCCATGGTGTATGTAGTCTTTATAGTGCATATAATGCATATGTATCGATAATTAGAACGGATATACTATATGTAATATAGAGTGTATGTGTAGTGTATATATATATAAACATATATATATATATAATATGTAAGATATAAATAGAATATATGCAATCTATATATATATTTATAATATATATATATATATTTATATATTGAACATATATATATATACATCGTATATGTGGTTTTTGATAGAATATAGATAGTATATGCCACATGTACTGTATCCACAGTAGATGTAATATATACAATATAGGTAAATATGTTCGTTGAATAAATTTTACATAGTATATGTGGTATATTGAATATCGACAGCAATACACGCTGTATATCTAGAGTTTATGTATATATATATATGTATATATATATATGCATATATATATATACATATATATATATATACGTGTACAGTATGTACAATGTAAACGAAATATGTGATAGATACAAGATCAAGATATCAATCTGTAGTATCTAGAATGTGCATATATATATATGTATTTATTGTTTTTCTACTGTACATATGTCTAGGTTTGCATCGGTAAGCTTTGCGTAATCCATAGGTAGCAAATATGTTGTAAACCATGTGCGAGGCACGCTATAGGCGGTTCGAAAAAAAGGTTATGATAGAAATATACAGGTAGACAAGGTCCGTTGACGAGGTCGTGGCTCTCAAGTGCTGCAAATAACGTAGAGATGCGAGGTTGGAGGGGTGGAAAGGGGAGTATATATGTGTATATGTGTATGTATATGTGCAAATAACATGCAAATACTAGGTTTTGGGGGGGTGGGGGGGGTTAGGAGTGGGGGGGGATACCATTGGGGGGGGAGGGGGGGGGGGGTGGGGGTCCGGGGACCGGGCTCATATATACATAATATGCAAGTATATGCAGACCAATCATAATAACCTCACTGCGATGTACATCCTCCACAAATTGCCTTATTTCAGCTTAGTGAATGAATTATTGTAATATGTCATATACATCCGCATACATGCATTGCATTACATGCCAGCTGTGATGCTGGATCAAGTTTACTGGGCCCCGCTAGGTCCCCTTTGGAAAATCGCATTTTTGGTCTTCCAAACAGCGGCCTTAAACCCAATAATCTAGTAAACCATTCCAATTGGGATGGCGTTGTGTGTCTGGTTGGTGGTTTGGAACACGAATTTTCTGACTTTCCATTCACTTGGGAATGTCATCAGCCCAACTGACTTTCACTCCATCATTTTTCAGAGGGGTAGGTCAACCACCAACCAGGTATGATTTTATGACTGGGATGACTGGAATGCTTTATGGCATTGGGTAAACAGCGACGACTCACGTCCTCAAGTCTGAAATTCTGATCAAAGAGTTGCTCCCAGAGTTTGGTGTTCTCCGTGTTTTTCCACATGATAGTGGTTTGTTGTCCATATGGAAAAATCTTTTGATGTTACCCTCTGGTTATTTAACATAGCCATGGAACATGGCACATAGAAATAGATGGTTCGGTTTGCCGAACTTAAAAAAGCTGATTTTCCATGGCAAACTGTTAGTCATAACCAGATGGTAATTGCTTTGAAGTTTCTCCAATGGGAGCCCAGGAATAGGCCAATGGGAGCCCAGATCACATTCCACGGCGGAGGATCGTAGGAATCCTAGGAATCGTTTCCCTTGAGCGCCGACGCATAACTGGAGCGAGAACTAGCCATAATTGATAGTAACAATCCATAATCCTAGCTGGATTTGGTAACATAGCTAGTTATGGCTAGTTATGGCTATCAATTATGGCTAGTAACAATCATAATCCTTGGTTGCTTGGTTATATGGGGAGTTCACCACCAATGCCCTAGGGCTTATAACCAGCCGGTCAGCCTGGTTAGATACGGACTAGTACTTTGATCTTTTACTATGATAAAATGTCTGGTTGGTGGTTTGGAACATGTTTTTATTGTTCGATATATTGGGAATGTCATAACCCCAACTGACTCATTTTTTTCAGAGGGGTAGGTATACCACCAACCAGTAATAAACATGATGATGACAGCAATAGTAAGAATATGTAATGATAATTGATCATGTTTTTTTTTATAATCATCACACTTATACCAAACTGTTTTTCGCTTCCAAACTATTTCCAGCACCTCCCGGCAGTGAAGTCCCGTCAGGGCTGTCCTCCATCGAAAGTTCTGGGTCGCGCCATTTTGGTGCGCGGTGTGGCCAAGTTGGTGCGTGCCTTGGAAGAAAACACGCCATGCCTTTGGACTCGAACTGGGATTGTTGGTGATCCAACAAGAATAAGGGATTAACAAATACTAGTCAATGACAATAACAAGAGTTAATGATAATAGTTAAGTTATATAATTGCAACAAAAAGATAGGGGAGCAACTTGAATTACAACAACCTTGGATGGGTAGTTTCATCCTTGAGTTGTTTGCTATAAATGAAAAATAACCACAAGCAGCAAAATATTATTTTTGGTGGACTAATTATCAAAGATTGACTATGGGATTAACAAATACTAGAGTCCAACTTAATGACAATAGTTGATGACCTTGATCATTGTCATAGATGTGTTTTAATAGGGGTCTTTGGAGATTCCAACATGCTTTCACCTTTAAAAAGAATAGTCCCAATAAGGAATCCCAGAATTTTTACGCATCCAGTACTATACCACTTTGGGGGTATTTCATATTCAGGGGATGCGATTTGGAGTCTAAGCTGATTCAACATCATTTAAAATGGTTTAGGTTTCGCGAAAATTGGAAGGTGCCAGACCTAGATTCAAAAAATGGCCAAATGGCTATCTCGCCTGCGAAATGGGTGTCAATTCAACATAAATCACGAACAAGGAGAGATCAATTCACAGATCCAGTGCGAAAAGGCAGGGCGAGCAAGAAGAGATACAGATAGTGAATACTGTGTTCATGATACAGATACAGAATACAGATACAGATACTATCAATTCCAGCAATTCACAGATCCTGTGTCACAAGCCTGGTATAGTACCGGACCCAACGATGGAATACTGGGAATTCATTGACCATTCGGGTGACATAGCTGCTTAAACCTCGGTGCCCCAATCACAGTGTCCGAAACGAGATCCAAGACTAAAAGATTTCCAGGAACTGATCATCAACAAACACGGCAAAGGATTGTAGGCAGAGTCGGCAGAGGTAAAGGTAAACACATCAGAAAACCCATGGGTTTTTTCCGGGCACCGATACGTGGCGACACCTCTAATCTCTGTCCATCCGTTTCCAAGGGATGATCATGATATATCATGATCCACTCCGCTGAAATCGCCGGCTGGTTTTACTTAATGTTTTACTACATCATTCTATATCTATTAATTATGTGTATATATATAATATATATATATATACAAATATCCTCAGTTTTCCCAATTCTTCATGAGCCATGTCTAATATGTCTATCTCAGCCTACCTCATCATGTGTAAAGAGTGGTAAACCCAAGAATAAACCATCCAAAATGGAGGTTTTGTCTTGGGTCTACCTCCATAAAACGCTGGGTGAAATCACCACCCTGGCGGGTCACAGTTGCCGTGCTCCCAGTCGGTCACAATCGACAGCGCTACACGCTGCCCCACCGCGAAATTCTGGTGGAGGCAACGGTGTGCGGAAACTCGAAACTCGGGTGCGTGTGTAAGAAAGTTGTATCCCCGGTCATGGAATGGGATTTAATCTGGTTGGTGGTTTGGAACATGGCTTTGATTTTTCCATATATTGGGAATAATCATCGCAACTGACGAACTCATAGTTTTCAGAGGGGTAGGTATACCACCAACCAGTAATGGAATGTGTATCAACCCAACAATAGTCCCAAGGGGTGATTTTGATGGGAATAGCCATGGCATTAACCACCAGAAGTTGGGAAAAAAGGGGGCCCTGAAAAAATGTGTTTATAACTAGGTAAATAGGTTTCTAACTAACTTGGTTATAATGGTTGATGATAATATTATCTATAATGGTAACTATCATCTATAATGGTTGTCCATAGCCATTACCATTATATAATACTCCATCAAAACTCTGTGCTCCATAGAAGATATACCCTCTGGTAAACATACAAAAAACTATGGGAAAATCACCATTTTTAATAGCTAAATCAACTATTTCTATGGCAATGACAGCGAACTGTCAGCTATTACCAGGCCGGGTAACTCGTCGGCATCGTGAGGCATCTCAGTTGCTGATCCGTGCGGAGGAGATCTTGGTGAAAGCCGCCGGCGAGGCGACGGAGAAAGCCAGGGGAGATCTCGATGAATCTTCCATGATAATCATTATATTCCCAATATCATGGGAGATGTCCAACAAATATAATCTGGGTAAATTATAACGACCTCACTACGACCTCACTGGAAATCATGGTTAGTAAGGGGAATCATCCCCAAATGGCCTTAATTCAGATTAGTGAATTATTATAATTTGCCCAGATATAATCATTATAATCATCATATCATTCACATATATATATATAATTCAATCCCAATAAATCATGATATTTCTTGGTGAAATCACTATTGTACACTTTTTAGGGGATGTTCCAATGGATATAAACCGATATCTATCTGGGATATCTAGGATATCTGGGATTTCTGGAAAGTTGAATATACTTGGATGATCCAAGATGTTTTATCATTAAGCTTCGACGATACCGGGCATCAGCTCCCCCGAAGGCCGAAAAAGCAGCAGGAACATGCTGGCCACACGTGACCAGCCTCGGAAAGCACATCAACCAATAGCTGGATGGTTTATTTCATGGAAATCACCATGTTTCATGGGAAAACTCACTATTTCAATGGTGATTTAATAATGATCAATAATGATTTACCCTCTGGTAAACTAACATAGCTATGGAAAATCACCATCTTTAATGGGAAATTCCACTAGAAATCACCATTTTCAATAGCAAGCTGTCAGCTACTACCAGAGGGTAATAGGCCGAAATCATCTTATTCCAAGGTGTAACATCCCAATCTGATGATTTGGGGGGTACCACTACGACTTAGGAAACCTCCATGACTTAAATTGGGAGATCTTCCACGTTAGACTACCAGAGGGTCTCCCAAGAGTTGAAGAAAGATTTTAAGTTTGAAACCCCCAGATTTTTCATGGCTCAGCTGGGTTTCAACTGTTTCAACCGCAGATTTCCCCCAATTATTTGTCAGCTGTCAGGTGAACGAAGGATCCATCTATACGCAACTTTGAATGAGCGAATGGCGGTTCAAGACAGTGAACTCTCCGGAAATTCTTAAAGATACACCGCCTTTGCTGATTGGTGGTTTGGAACATGACTTGTATGACTTTCCATATATTGGGAGTGTCATCATCCCAACTGACAAACTTATACGAACTCGTATTTTTCAGAGGGGTAGAAACTACCACCAACCAGTTTGTGTCTTGATCATCACATGTTTGAGTGCCTAGACCCATCACCACATGATGATATCGTGGATCAAGTCATTGGTCCCTTTAGGAATTGCAGATGTAGTTGGTGTTCACCAGGTTTTTCAGGGGGCTTCTTTCACCGTACTTCCAGGGGTCAACCTGAGTTCCAATCCCCAACACCATCGTTGATGGTGATCTCTTGCTTTTATTCTATCCAACTAGTTTCCTAGTTTCTTGTCTTTGTTTAAGCTGATTTGTTTATTTCCATGGGAAATCCACTGGGTATAGGGGAATATGTCTTTGCTTTTTTTGGGGGGGTCCGTCCTTAAGGCGCAAATCCCTTCAAATGGTCACCAAATAACTCGTCATGACATCTCCCTGGGGGCCGGCCGATGATCGAAGCCGAGCGCAAAAAACAAGGCACCATGTTATTGGCTACATAGAATAATATCATATGATTGGTTACAGTGTACGTCGCATGTCCATGAACTACATCCCCCCAGAAAAAGCACCTATGATTGCGTTTTTTGGAACCCCAAATCGGCTGAATCCCCAATTTTTTGCTGGCTACCCCCATGTTTGATGCTGTTATCCCCACTATGAATGGTTTATATGCCCCATTTATAGTTGATTATCCCAATTTATTGTCAATCATATCCCGAAAATCTGATGGATTTACATCCAATTCCGGCGTAAATCTCATCAACATATCAGCAAAAGAAGTTAATTAACACCCCAAACACTCCATTGTATGGCTTAAAACCACCGCGTTGAGGCATGGCAACCTGGGGGAGCTGTACCTGCATGACGTGGGGCATGTCGCTGAGCAAAAATTAAAACGGAACGGGGGGGTTGGCGAGGCGCGGTTGGGAAATATGCGAAGGGAAATTAATGACCTAAAAGATAGTGGTTGCACTGTGTTTTACCGTGCTCTACCTTTCTATACTATACAGAGAGAGAGAGAGGATGATATAATTAGTAATATAGACTAATATAGATATGAATACAGATATAGATTTAAGTATGATTAGATACTATATATACATATATACATATGAATACATATGTATATATATATCCCCCAAGATCTACCTTTTGGGTAGCGGATATGTCCTTGACATCCCTTTTCTTACTGCTTATATTATCACTTGTTGGAGCAGTTGTAGCACTACAGCAGGAAAGTACCTTTTCAGAAGGGAATGCCGCTACAAAACAACGTACACACACACATTTACATATGATACACATGCATTTGGTTACTCTATTGTGACCTTAGCAGGTTGTTGAAGTTCAAACATGCATTAAATTCGGCACGGCACTGTGGCCAAATGCAAGGTTTGAATATGTTTTTTCAGTTCTTTACCTTGCTCGGATGGAGTGCTTCCGGTGGCTGTGGGCAAAACCTGAGGACCAATGACACTCATCTTCTCTAGCAAAAAACGCCAAAAGAAACAGGCGACAGACAGAAACTTGATAGCCTCAAGTGATCGAGCGGATAAGACCGTCAGCTTTGATTTCAGCAATAGTGACGCAGAATCTGAAGCATTTTCTTGTTTTGTTTTCAAGATGTTTTTGAAGGGACTCTTGTCAGGAAGTTATTGAGTTCAAGACTCAAGTAGTATTGTTTTTGTTTTAAGGTTGCATCCTTTTCTAGAGGAATATTGCAAATTTTGAGGGTCTCTTTGAAGGGTATTGCCCACTCTGTTAGTGCTACACCCTCTTAAACAGAACAGTCATGATGCAGCACTGTTGAACAAATGTGTTTTGCACTGCTACACTACACGATTTTAAAAAAAAATATATACGTATATTTAGACACTAGCCTAATAGCTGTCACAGCGAGCACGATCTAGAGCACGATTTTTGGCACGAAGGAGAGCACCAAAAAGCACGATTTTGTGCACGAAGGAGAGCACCAAAAAGCACGATCTAGAGCACGATGTTTGGACAAAGGAGAGCAATGCACAAAGGAGAGCACCAAAAAGCACGATTTTTGGCACGAAGGAGAGCACCAAAAAGCACGATCTAGAGCACGGTTTTTGGCACGAGGGAGAGCACCAAAAAGCACATTTTTTGGGACGAGGGAAAGCACCAAAAAGCACGATTTTGTGCACGGGGGAGAGCACCAAAAAGCACGATCTAGAGCACGATTTTTTGCACGAGGGAAAACACCGAAAAGCACGATTTTGCGCACGAAGGAAAACACTCAAACCAACGTTCGCCCAAAATATAAAGAAAACCTTTTTTTGATTGTTACGGCTATTAGGACGGACTCAACATACATATATATATAAATAAACATTGCATCCATTGAACAAACTATAGTAAAGTAGCGCTGCGCATTTCAGAGGAATGTTCCACTATGTTTGTGTCCTTTCCAAAGGAATACTACACCCTCTGTTTTCCAGAAACGCGTTACTCTTCTCAATGAATATTGCAAAAGTGATGCTACACTTCTACATTTCTTTCATACTACTATTTCAAGAGAGTACTGCATCCATTCACGGACTTTTTTTGTGAAACTAAACCTTTTTCTAAGTATTACTGCATCTATTGAGGCATTCTATGTCAAGGCAATGCTGCATTTTCTTGAAGGAATGTCCCACCATGTTCAAGGAATGTATCACTCTTTTCGATGGAACATTGCAAAAAAGTAATGCTACATTGCATTTTGTTTAAATATATTTTTGTTTTCGATCAATACCCCAGAGACTAGGAAAACTTTCTTATTGAAGTAATTCTGTGCTCTTTCAAACGGACATCCCACGTTTGTTGCCACGTTCCAAAAATTACTGCGTCCTTGAAAGAGTCTTGCAAAGTACTACTGCATAAATTAAAGTGCGCTAGTTTAAAATCATTTTACATTAAGGGCTGCCGCCCCTGCCGCCGACCCCGGAAGAATGGTCAAGTAAGCAAACCAAATGGGCATGAAGATTCTTCGGTGCTTCGCACTTTCAGGCTTTCTTCATTTTCATATGTAGATTTTTATGAAATATTGATATGCTTGAATTAAACATATGTGACGTCTTGTGCTGCTTCTGCTTTGTTTCATAAGGCCCTATGGCCATTTTCAATAGCTATGTGACAAATTACCAGAGGGTAACATTTAAAATCCATAGTTGTTAGACTCCCCAGGTCTGGAGATTTTCGTGGGTCCAACATGGTCCAACTCGGGACGAAAGGGTCATGATCAATAGAAGCACACGCGCACACAGACACAGAGGTACACAGATACACAAGTACACACGGGTTGGTGAATAGGATCTGCTATGTTGCTATGGCTTGGACGGCAGAGCAGAAGTGTGCGGTTCGAAAGAAGCTCCGGGCATCTAGGAAAGCAGCAGATAAGGTGAAACCGCGTTTCGGTTGCAAACACATTCAGTGATGTATATTTACTTTATGATTTTTATCCAATTTGCAATGTTCTGAAGCCAGAGATGTCATTGGGAGGCATGGTTGCAACAGGTTTCTAAAAAGAACCTTACGGACTTTTTTGGACAGTAACTGCATTATGATCAAAGAAGATACCTGAAGTAGTGAGTTGTATCGATTGGGTGCAAAATTGTTTGTGAGAGCTCAATGTGCAGCAAGGTTATACAACCTTCTCTAAAAGGTGTTCGTTCAAAGATTTTGTGTTGTTTTTGTGGCTACGACTGCTTGCATTTCCCAACTGCCTGTGTACTTTCAAAGTTTGAATTGTAGATAGGTTAGATAGATGGACGGATACACAAATGGAGAAACATGTTGTCGACGAACAACTGCGCAACAAGTGACATCAAAGCTACACTTGTCGCGGCTATTCATGTTTTGAAACAGATATAGGATGGAGATCGGCGGTATTCTGTGTAGGAATTGCTGTGCTGAGGCGGCGATGGAGCGGCGTGTCCGGACGCAGTGGGAAGTCCGGTAAAAGTGGCCGGTCAGGTTGTCGGAAGCGGAAAGGCCCTGAATGCGGGCAGGTTGCCCGAAAGGCGTTCAAGAGCTTTGCTCTTGCCGCAGCAAGTGCGACATTGGGCAAGCTCTATGGACCAGGAGAGCAAAAAGCCTTTTTGCGAGCTGCGGGTGAAGATGTCAGGGCATGCCGAAACTTACTTGCTTTTTCAAGCCAAAAGAGGTGTGAGTGCAACCCTGACCTAGACACGGCCAGTCTCGAAACTGTCGAAGCGTCTGAGTTGCATACCAAGAGGCACGGAAGAAGACCACAAGAGCACATCTGGTAAGCAACGGTGTATGTAGTGGTTTCTGTATGGTTCTTGAGTTATGTAAGGGGAAAAGCAAAGCAGTTTGAGAGATCATTCAGACAATGTATCTAAGGCAGCCTATGGTCGGCCCATGGACGAGAAGCTGGTGCTACACTGGCTGCAACGGCTCGTCTGGAATGGTGTCGTGGTTGCAGATGGAGTGATAGTAGTAGGGAAGCATATTTTCTTGAGATGTATTGTGCAGACTTGCCATGAAGTTTGTCTAGATATTGGATACTTTGTGTAGCTTTCGTATGGCTCAATGGAGAGCCGAAATTACGGCAGGGCTTTTGCTCTGAGAACAGGAGAAGTTCCAGTAAATAGAAAGTTTGGTCTATTGAGGCTGGAATGAAATTGGCCATGATCATTTTCTAGATCCTTAGGTCACTGCGTGTTTCTCTGATTGGCGTGTTGATTGATGCTGGCGCGATTTTGAAGCTGGAATGTATGCAAGACATCTGCGCGCTGTGTTCAAAGAAAAGCATATCAGGACTTGCCACGCTGAAACACCATGGCTGTAAAGGACGGACAAACCAGCAAATTAGATGGAAAAGCTCCCTAACTTGTCTTCTGAAATCTGAGAACACTAACCAATTTACTGGCCATATATGGCTAGTCAAGTATGGCTAGAATCACATCGAAATTCTGTCTGAAACCCCAAGGTGCTAGTCAAATATGTGCAGACATTTGCTTCAACTGAAATCTTCCGAGCCGCCCAAACGGACACCTTCCAAGGATCTGGCTGCCTGGCAGCTTTTTAGGGAAGCTATCCAGCGTTCTGGAAGGACTATAAAGCGAAACAGGTGGCAACACCTTCACTGGTTAGCGCGCTGGCCTGCGTGAAGTTGGGTGCAGCCACAGCCCAAAGTCGCGTCCAGCAATGGCGCCATGAGCTTAGATTGGGTTTTGGACGCGTGATCATGCCATGCCAAGTTGCTTGCGGTTGAAGGAAGTTACGAAAGCAATATCTAAACAGAAGGGGGCACGAGGGGGGGTGGAGGTGCGCAAATTGTAGAAACGCGTGCTTTTCCACACCCCTTCGAAGCTCTATGTCCCAAAAGTGCCAAAACCCATGGCCAGCTCTTGGAGGAGAGGTCCATGCTGTCTGACATTTTAGTTTTTTCTTTATCTAAAAGTAGCCCTCCGAAGAGGTAGAAAGTCAAGTTGGTTTGGGTAAAGCTATTTTTCTTGCATCTGAGGTCAAGTGTATGGCAAGGCCGGCCCTTTCAGTATGGCGACAGTGGTGGCGGAGTGTTTTGCGAAACTTGTGCGCACAGGAGATTGGATACAAAGAGTTGCAGATTGTGGCAGACATGTGAAAGGATCAATCCTTCCAGGAATTGTGTTTGTCATGCTGTCCATGACAGAGTTCTGTCAGATGTGTCGCATCAAGTAAAGAGATCATGCGGATAGGAGCCTTTGAAGTTGCAGCCGAGCAACTACGCGCCTGCACAACAGAAGCTGCTGTGAACACGGTGCTGCAGCGGACGCTGTGCGCAAAAGCAAAGTTTCTCAGATATCTCCTTTATGGCGATGCGCAGGTTGCTAGATTGCAAGTTCGAACATGGTTCGCTAAA